ATCGGCTCTCCGATGTGGTTGTGTACGGCGCGATGTCCGACGTTTCGCTCCACGTGCCTGGGAGCTTTATTAGGAACTGATATAATTGACCAAAAACATCAGTCTTCAATCTCAGCGAGGCTCCTGTGGAGAGTCAAATGACATCATACATATATCTTCTTTGGTTCTTTCGGTAAAGTCATGTAGAATGAGAATAAAATAATAAATTGATAAAATATATTATCAATTTATTATTTTATTCTCATTCTACGTGACTTTACCGAAAGAACCAAAGAAGATGAATCATTGCAGTCACGAAAGCTTTAAATCGAAATCATACATATAATTACATTCTTCACCGAATGCCTCGAATTGTTTCTTGAGGAGGAGGTATTCTGCTGTAAAATATGTTTGATATTTTGAGCACAGCCTGAAGATATTTTTTGACTATGAGGTAGCCGAGTGTCTGAGGTGATTAATACCGTGTCTGAGACAAACTTGGCACCACTGACCTTCTTAGTTAGAAACCAGGTCTCAGCCTTCAGCCACCCGGACATCAACTTGGCTCGCAATTGCAATGATCCGATGGTGTCAGCTCGGACGCTACCAAAACAAAGGCAAATACCCCCCGTGTAGCCTTAACATGCTGTTGGGGCAAGTGCTGTTCGCGACCACCACCACCACCCAGACACGCCTCTAATCCAACGCTGTGGAGGCAGCGGCGAGGAGGGTTGGTGACTGACACGCGTGGGTGTCGAGCCCTACTCTGGCTCGCCAGGAGACAGCGCTGCAGCACACGTGCACTCCATCCGCTCCGTCTGTATGGGATCGACTGTCCCCCCCCCCCTCACACGCGTGGGTTTTCTCCGGGCGCTCCGGGTTTTCTCCCACACGTAAACCACTCATTAATTAACATCTCAACACATGTGGAGGACTGCAGAGCTTGGGGAGTAATTGGCACCGGCTCACCCGCGTGGTTCCTGCTTCCCCGTTCGTCTGGGGACCCTCCTCGTGTCCCCGAGTCGTCCTCTCTCTGTTCGAGAGCGAGGAGCAAATGCAGCGCAGCGGCGGCGCATTACACGTGACATTAGAGATCTATATGATGACTGGACGAAAATATCAACATCATCAGCCATGGTCGATCCACTGCTGGATGAAGGCCTCCCCAAGCCGCCACCACCTCCCGCGATCCAGCGATCTTCCAATCCGCCCAGCACTTTGCGCACGCCGATACCATTGGGCCCATCACCATCTCTCTCGTTCGTGGACGCCTCGAGGAAACATTCCATTCCTTGGCAGCCACCCCCGTCGTCATTCTTGACCATCGGTCATCGTCCTGCCCAGGCCAACTCGCTTTTCTCCACAGTTTTAGCGGTGTCTTCACAAAAGTGATTTCTTGGTCTCTTCACGAGTGGCTTCCTGGTGTCTTCACGAGCGATTTCCTGGTGTCTATTCAAAAGTGATTTATTGGTCAAATGAGCATCGAGGCAGCGCTCATCTCCTGGTTACAGCCCTGAGCCATTGGTGGAAATTCCACATCCATGTGGCGGGGCGTGAGTCTCTCCAGAGGATAGCGCCTGAATACTTCCCCACGACGCGACTGCAGGAGAGAGTCCGTGCGGTGTTGCCGTTCCTCCTCCTCCGTTGAAGGAGCGCAGCCTAATACGGCTTTCCCAAGTGTTACAAAGGTTTGGTTTGCAAGGCCCCAGGAGCACGACTGTGGCTGTTAAGAGAATGAACAACGTCGCTCTTCAGCTTCAAAAAAGTCCAGGGCAACTACGCACAGAGCACCCACGTAACTCCACACGCGAGATGCGATGAGGCACACACAGGAAGCCAATACAGAGTTCTGACTTCGGCACCGCTGGAGGCTACGCAATTAAACGTGTTCACGAAATCCCTACGCCCCAAAAAGCGAGACCCAGCTGCCATGGACCTCTTTTGTAATTACAACGCCTACAAACAGTCCGCTGTTTAAGCCGAATAAATGCATTCCGATTTGCCGAGTGAGCATTTCCAGTGCACACGGTTTACACGCCCTGCAAAGTCAACATTCGGAGGTAAAGGTACATATATTTATATAAAAGCAGAACTTTCTTGCGTCTCCGCATATAAATATTGTCTTCAGTATACCAGCCTCATTGGCTTTCCAGACCGATATTACCCAGCGGCATTTGTTTTACCAAACAAACTCTGGATCAGTGCCGACCTTTATGGGTCTCATAAGCAGAGTCAGAGCTTGTGCAACAGACATTACTTCGTTCCCAGACGTTATCGGCAGGAGCACTCCGTCTAAACTAAAAGCGACATTGTAGCCAAACTCGTGCATCATTGTGAATCATCGTGGGTAGAAACACATCTAACACAGAACGTATTTGATGAGACCCGGAAGGTCGAATTTAGTCCAGAATAGTGGCGGATATTGGCATCAAAAGCCAACAGTTTGATGGACAATTTTTATTTATTTATGGAGACATCACTTTTGCTCGTATTTTCTTTTCCCCATAATTATCCACGGCAGCTCGTACAATGTCGACGGTGCCTCTATGGCTCAGGGGCGGGGGGTCATAATGGCCATGTCGGAGCCACTGAGCCAGCATCACTGAGACCCTGGGTTTGAATTTAGAGTTGCCGCCCGTGATCAAACCGCGTTCTCAGGTTTACCGAATTGGTGGTCTCAGCCAGGTCACCAATGACTGCACTAAAATACCTGTGAACTGTTTAAAATAAAAAAAAAAGTTTAATTAACGTCTGTTTAATCCAGTCCAGCATCAATGGCCGTGTTTTTGATTAACTGAAACTGACAGCGGAACAACAACAAAAAAGTGCACGACAAAAGCGTGCAGTGATACACGATTCGTTATTACCGTAACCCCGTAACACCGAGAGTGAGACAAAGGCGATACAAGGGAATCAGGGGAACGACACCTCGTCATCAGGGACGTCCTGTTGACAATCCCTAAGAATGAATGGGCTCGAACGGGAAGCATCGACAGAAGAGGGACGATGGCCCATGGGCACGGGGGCGGCGATGGAGTGCCGGCCACTCCGAAGGCCCGACCACCGCAAAGACGAAGCGATGGGCTCGGCTCGCGTGCAGGAGTGAGACGGACGGCGGCAGCACCGGGGCGTGAGGGTTTCGCGACGGCGTGCGGGAGAGATCTGCATCTAGCAGTGGATAGATGAGTCCAGGTCGAAGGGAGGTCGCTTTTCCATCGGTACGGCTGACGGGCGGCGAGACGCTTCCCAAGAGCGTCAAGCAGCGCCCTCTCGCGGTGGGGGAGGGTGGCCTACTGGAGCGTTCCCTATTGGAGCGTCCCCTATTGGAGTGCCCCTATTGGAGTGCCCCTATTGGAGTGGTCTCCTATTGGAGTGCCACTATTGGAGTGGTCCCTATTGGAGTGCCCCTATTGGAGTGGTCCCCTATTGGAGTGCCACTATTGGAGTGGTCCCCTATTAGAGTGCCCCTATTGGAGTGCCCCGATTGGAGTGCCCCTATTGGAGCGGTCCCTATTGGAGTGCCCCTATTGGAGTGCCCCTATTGGAGTGGTCCCTATTGGAGTGCCCCTATTGGAGTGCCCCTATTGGAGTGGTTCCTATTGGAGTGGTCCCTATTGGAGTGCCCCTATTGGAGTGGTCCCTATTGGAGTGCCCCTATTGGAGTGGTCCCTATTGGAGTGCCCCTATTGGAGTGCCCCTATTGTAGTGGTCCCTATTGGAGTGCCCCTATTGGAGTGCCCCTATTGGAGTGGTCCCATATTGGAGTGCCCCTATTGGAGTGCCCCTATTGGAGTGCCCCTATTGGAGTGCCCCTATTGGAGTGGCCCCTATTGGAGTGGTCCCCTATTGTAGTGCCCCTATTGGAGTGGTCCCCTATTGGAGTGCCCCTATTGGAGTGCCCCTATTGGAGTGGTCCCTATTGGAGTGCCCCTATTAGAGTGCCCCTATTGGAGTGCCCCTATTGGAGTGCCCCTATTGGAGTGCCCCTATTGGAGTGGTCCCTATTGGAGTGCCCCTATTGGAGTGCCCCTATTGGAGTGCCCCTATTGGAGTGCCCCTATTGGAGTGGTCCCTATTGGAGTGCCCCTATTGGAGTGCCCCTATTGGAGTGGTCCCCTATTAGAGTGCCCCTATTAGAGTGCTCCTATTGGAGTGGTCCCTATTGGAGTGCCCCTATTTGGGGCGGCCCATATTGGAATGACACTTATTGGAGCGGCTCCCTATTGAATTGTTTCTGTGGCGTCATATTTACAGAGCTCTTCCCTGACTGGAAATGAGCTCTACCGACTGTAGGAGTTCATAGAGAGACGGATCCTTTAGGCTCACGACAGCGAGATGACTCCCATAACAACACAACTGGGACATCGATAAGAACACACACAACGTACGAAATCAAATCTCTCGACCATGTAACCCGCCACGCCGTGTGCCTACCAAGATGCCGTCTGTGAAATATTTATGGGCATGTTTCGAGCGCAGAGCAACGGCAAGATAGGTCACTGACTACACCCAGGAATTAGATAAAAGGACCCTGGGCTTCGATGAAACACAAGCCTTAGAGCCAATAATAAAGCAAAGCCTTTCCCATGAAATCTTATTGACATTGCGCCACGTGATAGCACATTTTACAATTCTGGCAAGCAAGCATGCAGCAGCAGCAAGTTGTTTTTTTAACTCTTGCATTTTCCTTTTTTTATCTCACTCTGGGCCATATTGTAAAGCCACTGTAGGTCTACGCTGCTTCAATAGAGGAGGAACAGGAACGGAAAAAGATACGAACTCTCTCTCTCTCTCTGTGTCGAACCAGCAGCGACCAGTAAGTAGCACGAGACGTCGACATTCTTGGGGGCATTCAGAAACGCCCATGCGTAAGATCAGCACTCACGGAGCGCAAACGACCGTACGTACCTTGCAGCTTAAATTAAAAAAAAAGTGTTTTTAGATCCACACACTCACACAACAAAACGCCCATTTATTTATATATGTATGTTAAAGGGTGTGGTGTTGGTGCCGGTTTTTTGACAAACCGGATTTTTGTTGCTCCTGAGACCTCCCCCCCCACCCTTCTCCTGGAAGAGGGTGGGTTGGCCCTACCCGCGGATATATTTGCAACTGACAGCCGGGGACTGTGGAGCTGTCGGCCCCTGCTTCGCTGTGGCCAAGACGACTGAACCAGCAACCGCCCGGCGCCGCGCCACATGCGAAGCGCATGAGTTCGATCGCGAGCTGAGGTCGCGGTTATCCGCAGCGCTGCACGCACCCTCCACCCCCCCCCCCCACCGCCATGGCTGCTCGCCGCACTTCTTATTTCGAGTTCGTGACCAAGACCCGGGGAGCGAAGGAGCAGGATGCCAAGGCCGAGGAGCTCCCGGTGGTCAAGGTAAGTGCCGTTGCCTGTACATCTCCTCCTGCCCGCTGCACCCTCTCGCTGTGTGTTCATAGTTAGTTTCATAGTTTCATTTATTTTGGAATAGCCCTGTGAGCCATTCGGATCTTGAATCGGGTGCAACCGCAACAAACATAAAAAAAACAAAAACACGAACAAGAAAAACATCTTAAAGCGACTATGTGACTGTGCAAACAGAAAATCCAGGAAAAAAACATCAAAATATTCCTGAAATAGCACCGTACACCAACGCTGTGTGCAAAAATCCCAGTGGGATGCAAGTCAAACAACAACAAAACTTAGATAAAGGCCATCAGTCTAACTCCGTACTACAATAAACAAAAACATGGCCAAACCAAAAAACTTTTAGTAATCACCAAAATAAAGCCATAAATGCAATGTAACAGTGATCATAGGAACTGTGACTGAATTTTTAACAATAAACTACATAAAAAAATAACATGTAACACCAAACCCTAGAGCCACAGCTGTCTGTCTGTGTCTGAGTGGGGGAGCGGTAGTGTCGTGGTTAGCTACCCGAGTTCGATTCCCGCTCACGGCCAACACCCAGTGACGATTATCTGAACCGGTCCTGGGCCTCCCCTAGGTCGACTCGGTCTCAAATGAGTACCTGGTGCGGTGTGTAAACATTGCCACTGAAGAGACGCGGGCGGGCGTGGTGCTGACCACCCACCCCCTCGTGTGCCATGCCGGCCTTCATAGGTGCTACTCGCTAACAGCACTTGCCCCAACAGTCTGTACAGGCTATACGGGCATCTTTGTCTGTGTGCACAGCAAGGCCACTGCTGGTGGAAGCGTTGCACCATCGAAGCGGCTCTTAAGAGAGCCAGCCCCTCTCTATATTTTTGCGTACCCACATTTTACCCAACCCACTCGAGCTTCCCGATCGCCGTCACCTGCGGTGGTTTCCCGTGGCAATATTTTTGTCACTGCCGTGACCAGGGCGGATAACGATGGCGGAGGGATTTAATGACGTCAAATTGTTTCAGCTGCCGCGCCCGGAGATCGGCTCGTTAATGACACCCACGGACCAGTGCCGGATTATCCTGTAGCAAAAGTAGCTACACGTGCTACGGGCCCCGCACTTGCAAGTGCCCCGCGCTAAATGTTTTACGGTTCAGTGATTCTGCACTTGCTCTATTACTATAGTACTATACCGCCTTCAACTTTTATGAACGACCGGGTATTTAAGGTTAGTGATTTGTCGTATTAACTGGCTGCATAGCAAATAAAAAATACAATTACTTTACTATGCAATGAAAACATTTGATGTGTTTTAATATTTACGTTTTTTTAAATATTTAGGGCCCCTTTATAACAACAAATGCTACAGGCCCCACTCGAGCTTAGTCCGGCACTGCTACAGACGATCGCCGCGGTACGAGACGGGGGGTGGCGGGGGGGGTGCTCCGGGTTCTCTGTGTAGGCGCAACGTTTAGTCGAGCAATGTTGACAAGTTATGCAAGAGCTATATAGCAGTGTGGCCACACCAGTGTGAAGAGGCACATGCGTGGAGGCGTGTACCCTGTGGACGGTTAGCAACATTCCAGCAGACGAAACCGACCTCCCAATTGTTGCCAAGCATTGTGACCGTCACATATCCGACCTGACCAATTCACCGCCCGGCGTGGAAGAGGAGGCCAAATACCCTCCAGAGGAGATCTCTAAAGGGCTCCCTTCAATGCAGATCCTTCTGCCAGCAGTGGCGTGAGCAAGAGATTGCAGGCCTGCACCTTAACCTTTTTTTTTGAATACAGTAAAGTCTCACTAAAGTCTGAAGACTCATTTTGAGGAGCGTCCTGCATTGAGACGATTGTCCAAATCCTTATTGAGAGTTTAACAATGCTTGTATGTTCGTCCAAATGCATGATGTGTATGCACACAAGCATGCAGCGCGTGATAATATTTCAACCCCATCATGGCTACCTAAGGGCGTTTGGTAACATTAGCACTGCGCTGTGGCAAGTGGAACAGCAGTTGTTCTTCATAATGAAGGTTTTTGGTTTAGATCGCGTGAGTATAAATGTGTCGTAACCCTCCACCATCCGACACAGCCAGTAAGGTTTGTTACGTAAGCAACGCGCCAATTAGTTTACTACTTCAGCCCACCAGTGTGTTGGAGAGTATATCCACAACATTTACCATTTGAGTAGTATGATGTTTCGCCGGTAATTAATTACATCAACCAGTATCTGCGGGCGAAGTGCCAGGTGTTCTACGTGAAGAGTGGCAATCGTCTTAGGAATGAGGAATTTCCACCACTGGCTGTCAGTGGAGATGAGCACCACTTCACACTTGTTTGAAGAGAGATATGTTTGTGTAATTAATGTAAATGTTACCCATTTATGACTACTCACGTAGGCACATACATTTGCCTTCATGATATGATATGGTGATGTAAAAAAATAATTGGTTTATACTGCGTTGGCAGTGGGGCGTTTAGGCAGGGCCATTAATATTAATACACATTAATATTTTATATTTATGGGCGCCACGCGAGTGATATGTTAACTACTTCGTCTGGTATACAGGAGGTCGTGGGTTCAATCCCGACCCTGACGCCTGTATACTGTATATTTATGGAGTTTGCATGTCTCTCTTCCCATGGTCGCGTGGAATTTTCTGCGTTAGAGTATTTGGCTGCTATAAATGTCCACGCGATGGTGAGCCACCTCGTTAAGTTATCATATGTGATAGCCAGGTCGAAAAAGCTAGATTTGTCAGTGAGCCTTACCTGGTATAATGAAACATAATTTAGTTTAGGAAAATATATATTCCGTTTCAAGGCTACAGTGTTTTTGAGGAATGTGATGAGTTTGATGATTTAAAGTGTAATTAAAAATGTTCGGACTATTCGAGATTTTCAGGCTTAATGTTTCTCAATGTAATTCGGAGCAGCGTCGAGCGACAGAATGAGGAAGAGGCGGACTAGGGAACACAACGCGGCTTCGGGGCATCATTCAGACCGCGAGAGTTGAACGTGGGCCCCACAGCACGCGGCACGGCTGGAAGTGATGATTAATAATTGACAGGGAGGCAGCCAAGGGAGTGGAACGCGTTCCAGAGGAGATGGAGCGGTGAAATAGGTTCGCTTGCCAGTGTCAGTTGGTTTTATTAAATCTCACAATATTATTCTGGTGATGCTGCTGCTGTGTTGAGATCAGTGCACAATTAACTAAATAAACTTAGCATACTTGTCAACAACACTGCCTTAAAACAATAAGTATACATAATTAGTGACGTTTTGAGAAATGGAGGGCCATTGCCCGAAACGTCGCTGGTTATATATTTTTTAAGGCCGCAGTATTGTTGACCATTGTGGGAGGTGGCAGCTGCTTTGGGTCAGTCCTTCATCCAACAGTGGATAGATTATGCGTGATGGTGATGATGATGAAAACATTGCATCAAAGTATCTCCCCATTCAACCGTGCAAAGGGGCAGTGCTGATCTGCGTAGGGGAGAAAATTACACATTACCACGGCAGGGGCCAGTACATGCAGCAGAAAAGCAATGTTGATTTTCCGCAAAATACTACTACTGTTCGTTCCATTAGCTCTGGAGTGGTGATGATGGTGGTGGTAATGGTGTTGATGGTGGTGTTGATGGTGTTGGCGATGGTGTTGGCAATGGCGATGATGATGGTGTTGATGGTGGCAGTGGTTGTGGTGGTGGCGGCGGTCTTGGTGGTGGCGGTGGTGGTGACGATGGTGGTGATTGTGGTTGTGGTGTTGATGGTGGTGACGATGACGATGATGGTGGTGACGATGATGATGATGGTGGTGATTGTGGTTGTGGTGTTGATAGTGGTGAAGATGGTTTTGATGGTCGCAGTGGTTGTGGTGGTGGTGGCGGTCTTGGTGGTGGTTGCTGTCTTGGTGGTGGTGGTGATGATGGGGTTGGTGGTGGTTGGGGTGGTGGTTGTTGTTGATGGTGGTGGTGATGGTCCATAATAGAGATTGATGGTGTTGATGGTGGTGGTGGCGATGGTGTTGATGGTGTTTGTGGTGATGGTGGTGTTGATGGTGGCGGTGGTTGTGGTGTTGATGTGGTTATGGTGATGGTGGTGGACTGGCAAGTTGAATCCTATGACTCCTCACTGAAATTCCATTGAAGTGATCTGGGAGAGGGTGGGGGAGGTGTCACAATGGCCGTTTCGGAGCCATCAATCAAGTAACGCTGAGAAGCCACCTTTGTTCAGTCCCAGGAAGTTGGACACCAGCTTCGTTTTCCCCGTGGAGTCGGTGAATGTGAATGCTCTTAGCCCAGTCGCCGGTGACATGGGCCCATTCTGAACAAACCTGACGCCGAAACCCGAGGCATATAATGAAATGTTAACGTTGTTAAATGTCACCAAACCTGTATTTAAGTGGGCTGCTACGGTAACCTGTTAAAACAGACCTTCGTGAGAAAAACCGACGCCGACCTGTTGAGCCGCCGATGCGCGTGACGAGCTGCAGTGGTTATTACTGCGAGCGAGGTGCAAGCGATTCGCTCCGCTCACGGTGCCCGCGTCACTCTCTATAAACAATCAGCTGCCTCATCCGGTGGGCAGTTATTACAAGCCGAGCGATTTCGGTGCTGTGCAATTTACACGTTACAGGAGTTCATAATGGCCATGTCAGGACCGCTGAGACAGCGCTGCCGAGAGGCTGGGTTCGAGCCCTGGGTCTGGGTGTCTCTTGCTCTCTCTCATATGGCTCAATGGCAATATTAGGACCACTGAGACAGCGCTGCTGAGAACCTGGGTTCGAGTCCTGGGTCTGGGTGTGTCTTGCCGTCGCTCAGAAGGTTCATAATGGTCATATTAGGACCACTGAGACGGCGCTGCTGAGAAGCTGGATTCAAGCCCTGGGTCTGGGTGTCCAATATAAATATAAATACAGTAGCTCGTATGGCTACGTACGGTGCGAAAGAAGTCCAACATACAACATTAACAACTGCACTCGCACCATACATAGAATGCAGACAAACCATGATAAAAGCCAATGATGATGATAATAATGATGACGATGAAGATGGCGCCTGCAGCAATGGCTTCTGTGTGACTAATCACGAGACAAACGCGGATAGCGGGATGAGCTCAGCGGAGATCCGGGACGCTCCGTCGATCGACTGCGGTACTTTGTGGGCTTAAAATATATTACAGAGGCCCCCTTTTAAAATAGGCAGCAGGCACAGACGTGATCGTGACAAAGGGAAGGCGTCGGGCCCTCGGCGATCTCTGTGCGTTATCCGTGTGCGTGCGTGCGTGAATGCATGGCAGGTGCGCGAAATCAGCTCTATCGGCGATCGTGTTTTGGTTTATGGCATGCGTCATGATTTAAGGGGTCCGTTGTTCCATGTTTGCCGGGTAAACAGCAGCAGCAGCAGAGAGAGAGAGACACGAACAGCCCGAGTGAGAAATGGCTGTTTGTGATTTATGGTCTCCAAACACACACTTGAACCCGGCTACACATGAGGAATATAACTGTAAATCGTGATAACCATGGGCATTTACAAATAAGATCAGCTCTTCCTGCACTCAGAAATGCACGAGTGCTCATGACGTCATCTCTGGTTGGTTTGCTTTTTTCTCGTGAGCCAAAGATAAAGGTCCCAGTCCACAATCGCTGACTCACGCGCACAACTGCAGAGCGGCACTATGCTCACCGTTGTTATGAGCGAAGATCCTCCGTGTAGCCTGAACAGACCTTCGGGGAAAGTGTTTTTAGCGAGTAGCACCTGTGAAGGCCGGCACGGCATGCACGAGGGGGGTGGGTGGCCTGCACCACGCCCGGCCGCGATATTTACACACCGCACCAGGTACTAATTGGAGGCTCAGTCGACAGGGGACTGTCAATGTGTGGGATAGAGTGTTGTCCCCTCGCACGTGTGGGAATTCTCTCGGTGCTCAGCTTTCCTCCCACATGTAAACACTCATTAAGTGGCTGAAAATCATCTTAATATATTGAGGACCGCAGAGCTTGGGAAATTGTTGGCGGCAGCTCACCAACCGGCTGCTGCTACCGCCTTTCCCGCTCGTCCGTAGTTCCTCGTCGTAACTCCGTTGCACCAACAATCGCCATGACGCAGTGACCACCGCCACCATGGTCGCGATCGCCGGCGCCGCCGCGCTCACGTTTTTTGTCATGGCTCCCCACAGACGCTGCGCAGCGGCTTCCCATGCCACCCGTCGTGCATGGCGTACGACCCGGTGCAGCGGCTGCTCGCGATGGGCACTCGCTCCGGCTCGCTCTGCGTGTATCCTCGCACGCACCACCACGGCGCCAACACCAGGGCCCGCACCCACACCGCGGGTCGCGTGACCCCACCCTGCCCACCCTGCCCACCGCAGGTCGCGTGACCCCACCCTGCCCACCCTGCCCACCGCACCCACACCACCCTGCCCACCCTGCCCACCGCACCCACACCGCAGGTCGCGTGACCCCACCCTGCCCACCCTGCCCACCGCACCCACACCGCTCGTCGCGTGACCCCACCCTGCCCACCGCACCCGCACCGCGGGATCCAGCAATGCCCACCGCACCACCGATTCGTCGGTAATTTCACCGACGTCCACCCAGCCTCCACAGAGGCTACCAAATGCCTCGGTATCCTCGATATCCACACAGATAACGTCCCAAATGTTACAGTGCATTACGAAAGAAGAATGACCAACAGTTAACACAGGCAGGGGGGCTACCTGACTCCGCGGTTGAGGTGAGTGGGGAGAGAGAGGGGGGTGCGTGTGAGACGGGGTCACGGCGCAAAGCAGAGGCGTCCATGATATTTCTTGCTCAATTGAGCAAATTCCAAATTCTTGTGGTTGGGTGGCTAGCTTATAGCCCGACAACCGCTGTTGACTTTCCCACAAAGTGGAACTACGTTTATTGACCCCGGGAGGTATGATGGGCTTAGTTAACCCCCGCAACTGGGACTTTATCTCGGGACCTTCTGATTGCGAGCTGCTCGCTCGCTCTACCAAAGAGCCGCGTGGCTGGGGGGGGGGGGGGGGCGGTGACGCCGGAGGCTCGCGGGGTCGAGCGGTGGAGGCGGCAGCTTGCGGCGCGCCGCACTTGGGAGACCGGAGCCTCGAGTTCGATTCCGGCCACGGCTGACGTCGGTCGTGAGCGGTCTCCGAACGGGCCCTGGGCGCCCCGCGTTGACCCGCGTGGCGGAGCATGGCGAAGCGACCCTCGTGAGCGACGAAGATCCTCGTCCCTGCGGTGGATTGGCAGGTGGCCTCGCGGTGCGCACGGAGCGGCACGGGCACGAGGTGAACGCCGCCCCCCTGGCCTGCGAGCGGGCGTTCGCCGTCTGCCGGCAGGGGCCGGTGTTGCCGTTGGTTCTTGCGATACGTAGACCCAAAGATTAGATCACGTTTATTTCGGCGGGAAGGTGCCCCATGAGCTGCCCGGCTCTGCTATTCCACGGGCGTCCACGACGGCTCTTCGTTACAATCGCGGTCGCGCCGTGCGCCACGCCTTCCACGAGTGCCGTTACCGTGCGTGTCGCGCACTACCGGAATCGGGGAGCCGGTCGGCAACGCGCGAAACACCCACGGCCGCATCGCTTTGTGAACGGTCTGAACGTAGATGAAGGGATGAAGAAAACCGATGTCGCTCAACAAAGCGAACACAACCGGAAAACTGGGAACCCTGGGAGCGACCCACACGGACTCGGGAGAGGAGGAGGAAGGCTGCAGACGTGAGATGTGTAGAAGTCGTCAACTCTGCCCTTTGACAGAGGAAATACAATGGGGGAAGAAGCCTCCCGGACCAGACGGGATGATCCCTGGACACCGTCAAAGGAAGTGGGGACCAGTTGTGGCGACAACATTCACTCAACTTTTATTCGTTCGTTGGTGAATCCTATTCATCCTCTATGGGATGTAAGGCCGCAGTGAGTTTCCCTCCACTTCTTCCTGTCCTTGGCAACTTGTTGAGCATCGCCCCGAGAGAGGTCGATCGCTGCCACCAGCTCGTCATTTACGCCTCGCGCCAGGTGCAGCAACGAAATCCCTCAAGCGTGGAATCAAGAGCGGTCCATGGTTGTTCTGTTCACAAAGGGAGATAAGCGCTGTTCTGAAAAAAAAAAACGACAAACCCGTCCGCCTTTTGGCCGCTCATTTCATACGGAGGCTTTCACCACCGAAACGCTTCACAACTGGCCTCTGTGAGGGTGAGAGGCTTATTGTGAGTGGTAGGGTTATGGTTGAGAAGCTAATTGTGAGTGGTAGGGTTATGGTTGAGAAGCTAATTGTGAGTGGTAGGGTTATGGTTGAGAGGCTTATTGTGAGTGGTAGGGTTATGGTTGAGAGGCTTATTGTGAGTGGTAGGGGTGGGGTGAGAGGCTTATTGTGAGTGGTAGGGTTATGGTTGAGAGGCTTATTGTGAGTGGTAGGGTTATGGGTGAGAGGCTTATTGTGAGTTGTAGAGTTGGGGTGACAGGCTTATTGTGAGTGGTAGGGTTATGGTTGAGAGACTTATTGTGAGTGGTAGGGTTATGGTTGAGAGGCTAATTGTGAGTGGTAGGGTTATGGGTGAGAGACTTATTGTGAGTGGTAGGGTTATGGGTGAGAGGCTTATTGTGAGTGGTAGGGGTGGGGTGAGAGGCTTATTGTGAGTGGTAAGGTTATGGTTGAGAGGCTAATTATGAGTGGTAGGGTTATGGGTGAGAGACTTATTATGAGTGGTAGGGTTATGGTTGAGAGGCTATTGTGAGTGGTAGGGTTATGGTTGAGAGGCTTATTGTGAGTGGTAGGGTTGGGGTGAGAGGCTATTGTGAGTGGTAAGGTTATGGTTGAGAGGCTAATTGTGAGTAGTAGGGTTATGGGTGAGAGACTTATTATGAGTGGTAGGGTTATGGGTGAGAGGCTTATTGTGAGTGGTAGGGTTATGGTTGAGAGGCTATTGTGAGTGGTAGGGTTATGGTTGAGAGGCTTATTGTGAGTGGTAGGGTTATGGTTGAGAGGCTTATTGTGAGTGGTAGGGTTATGGTTGAGAGGCTTATTGTGAGTGGTAGGGTTATGGTTGAGAGGCTTATTGTGAGTGGTAGGGTTATGGTTGAGAGGCTTATTGTGAGTGGTAGGGTTGAGGTGAGAGGCTTATTGTGAGTGGTAGGGTTGGGGTGAGAGGCTTATTGTGAGTGGTAGGGTTATGGTTGAGAGGCTTATTGTGAGTGGTAGGGTTATGGTTGAGAGGCTTATTGTGAGTGGTAGGGTTGAGGTGAGAGGCTTATTGTGAGTGGTAGTGTTATGGTTGAGAGGCTTATTGTGAGTGGTAGGGTTATGGTTGAGAGGCTTATTGTGAGTGGTAGGGTTGAGGTGAGAGGCTTATTGTGAGTGGTAGTGTTATGGTTGAGAGGCTTATTGTGAGTGGTAGGGTTATGGTTGAGAGGCTTATTGTGAGTGGTAGGAGTGGGGTGAGAGGCTTATTGTGAGTGGTAGGGTTATGGTTGAGAGGCTTATTGTGAGTGGTAGGGTTATGGTTGAGAGGCTTATTGTGAGTGGTAGGGTTATGGTTGAGAGGCTTATTGTGAGTGCTAGGGTTGGGGTGAGAGGCTTATTGTGAGTGGTAGGGTTATGGTTGAGAGGCTTATTGTGAGTGGTAGGGTTATGGTTGAGAGGCTTATTGTGAGTGGTAGGGGTGGGGTGAGAGGCTTATTGTGAGTGGTAGGGTTATGGTTGAGAGGCTTATTGTGAGTGGTAGGGTTATGGGTGAGAGGCTTATTGTGAGTTGTAGAGTTGGGGTGACAGGCTTATTGTGAGTGGTAGGGTTATGGTTGAGAGACTTATTGTGAGTGGTAGGGTTATGGTTGAGAGGCTAATTGTGAGTGGTAGGGTTATGGGTGAGAGACTTATTGTGAGTGGTAGGGTTATGGGTGAGAGGCTTATTGTGAGTGGTAGGGGTGGGGTGAGAGGCTTATTGTGAGTGGTAAGGTTATGGTTGAGAGGCTAATTATGAGTGGTAGGGTTATGGGTGAGAGACTTATTATGAGTGGTAGGGTTATGGTTGAGAGGCTATTGTGAGTGGTAGGGTTATGGTTGAGAGGCTTATTGTGAGTGGTAGGGTTGGGGTGAGAGGCTATTGTGAGTGGTAAGGTTATGGTTGAGAGGCTAATTGTGAGTAGTAGGGTTATGGGTGAGAGACTTATTATGAGTGGTAGGGTTATGGGTGAGAGGCTTATTGTGAGTGGTAGGGTTATGGTTGAGAGGCTATTGTGAGTGGTAGGGTTATGGTTGAGAGGCTTATTGTGAGTGGTAGGGTTATGGTTGAGAGGCTTATTGTGAGTGGTAGGGTTATGGTTGAGAGGCTTATTGTGAGTGGTAGGGTTATGGTTGAGAGGCTTATTGTGAGTGGTAGGGTTATGGTTGAGAGGCTTATTGTGAGTGGTAGGGTTGAGGTGAGAGGCTTATTGTGAGTGGTAGGGTTGGGGTGAGAGGCTTATTGTGAGTGGTAGGGTTATGGTTGAGAGGCTTATTGTGAGTGGTAGGGTTATGGTTGAGAGGCTTATTGTGAGTGGTAGGGTTGAGGTGAGAGGCTTATTGTGAGTGGTAGTGTTATGGTTGAGAGGCTTATTGTGAGTGGTAGGGTTATGGTTGAGAGGCTTATTGTGAGTGGTAGGGTTGAGGTGAGAGGCTTATTGTGAGTGGTAGTGTTATGGTTGAGAGGCTTATTGTGAGTGGTAGGAGTGGGGTGAGAGGCTTATTGTGAGTGGTAGGGTTATGGTTGAGAGGCTTATTGTGAGTGGTAGGGTTATGGTTGAGAGGCTTATTGTGAGTGGTAGGGTTATGGTTGAGAGGCTTATTGTGAGTGCTAGGGTTGGGGTGAGAGGCTTATTGTGAGTGGTAGGGTTATGGTTGAGAGGCTTATTGTGAGTGGTAGGGTTATGGTTGAGAGGCTTATTGTGAGTGGTAGGGGTGGGGTGAGAGGTAGGCCGCGTGGGTTTAATGTTAACCAGAGCTGGAAGCGATCCACCACCGAGTGGTGGAAAAAAACCAAAATCAATTGACCCTGACGCCATCACACGACGGCCGACTCTCGCCATTCATCCTTAACACCGACTGGGAAGATCTGCAGCCGCTCGGCCGCATCACCGCCACACCGATGATGATGATGCTGCTGCTGATGGTGATGCTGCTTCTAAAGCTGCTGCTGATCATTATGATGGTCCTGCTGCTGATCATGATTGATGCTGCTGCTGATCATGATGCTTGCCGCCTTGACTGCTTACTCAGCTACGGCCAGCCAGGTGTGGAGAGGTTCTGCGAGCACGAGTCGGAGGCCGGGGTCCTTCAGCTGCACTTCCTCGTCAACGAGGTGAGCCCCTCCACCCCGTGTCGTGGCGGCCACCTCGCACACGCGCCCCTTTCCCACCGTTGCATCCGAGCCGTGCCGAGCCGTGCCGTGCCCGCGCGGCACCCTCGCCCTACTCCCAGTGCTGGATGAAGCGCTCGTGCGGGGCCTGTAGCATTTGATGTTATAAAGGGGCCCGAAAATACAAAAAAAAACTCACGAATATTAAAACACAAAATTGTAACTTGCACAGTAAAGTAATTGTATTTTTTCATTTAATATACAGCCAGATAATATGACGAATCGCTAACCTTAAACACCCGGTCGTTCATAAAAGTTGAAGGCGGTATAGTACTATAGTAATAGAGCAAGTGCAGAATCACTGTACCAGAATTGATAGCTTGAAAGCATTTAGTGCGGGGCCCTTGAAAGTGCGGGGCCCGTAGCCACTACATGTGTAGCTACTTTTGCTACTAGGATAATCCGGTACTGCCTACTATGGGTCGGGTGTTCATTTTTTTTCCACCGACCGGATTTTTCTGCCGTGCCGAGCCAGAAAACCAAACCGTAGAGTGCTGGCCCCGCTCGGCCGCATCAGGATCGGGGGTTTCTGCTTCGTGTGGTGGCGGTTCAGGAATGGTGCGACCATTCGCTAGGCGCAAGGTTAAACTCCTGGTCCCGTGGGTACACCATGTGTCCGTGTTTGTATCTGTGTGTGTGTGTGTACACTATGTGTCTGTGTTTGTATCTGTGTGTACACCATGTGTCTGTGTTTGTATCTGTGTGTGTGTGTGTACACTATGTGTCTGTGTTTGTATCTGTGTGTACACCATGTGTCTGTGTTTGTATCTGTGTGTGTGTACACCATGTGTCTGTGTGTGTATCTGTGTGTGTGTGTACACCATGTGTCTGTGTGTGTATCTGTGTGTGTGTACACCATGTGTCTGTGTTTGTATCTGTGTGTGTGTACACCATGTGTCTGTGTTTGTATCTGTGTGTGTGTACACCATGTGTCTGTGTGTGTGTGTACACCATGTGTCTGTGTTTGTATCTGTGTGTGTGTACACCATGTGTCTGTGTTTGTATCTGTGTGTACACCATGTGTCTGTGTTTGTATCTGTGTGTGTGTACACCATGTGTCTGTGTTTGTATCTGTGTGTGTGTACACCATGTGTCTGTGTTTGTATCTGTGTGTGTACACCATGTGTCTGTGTTTGTATCTGTGTGTGTGTACACCATGTGTCTGTGTTTGTATCTGTGTGTGTGTGTACACCATGTATCTGTGTGTGTGTGTACACCATGTGTCTGTGTTTGTATCTGTGTGTGTGTGTACACCATGTGTCTGTGTTTGTATCTGTGTGTGTGTACACCATGTGTCTGTGTTTGTATCTGTGTGTGTGTGTACACCATGTGTTTGTGTTTGTATCTGTGTGTGTGTACACCATGTGTCTGTGTTTGTATCTGTGTGTGTGTGTACACCATGTGTCTGTATTTGTATCTGTGTGTGTGTACACCATGTGTCTGTGTTTGTATCTGTGTGTGTGTACACCATGTGTCTGTGTTTGTATCTGTGTGTGTGTGTACACCATGTGTCTGTGTTTGTATCTGTATGTGTGTTGGGGCAGCGGTAGAGTAGTGGTTAGTGCTACGCTGCGCTACTAACCTGGCGACCCGAGTTTGATTCCCGCTCACGGCTAAAATCAGTGACGATTATCTGAGTACCTAGTGCGATGTAAACATCGCCACTGGGGAGACAAAGGCGGCCGGGCGTGGTGGTGGCCACCCACCCCCTCTTGTGCTATGCCGGCCTTCATAGGTGCTCGCGAACAGCACTTGCCCCAACAGTCTGTGAAGGCGATATGGGGGATCTGTGTTGTGTGTCTCAGGGAGCGCTGGTTAGCGTGTGTTCCGATGACAAACTGCACATGTGGAGTCTGCGACAACACACTCCGGTCCTGGTCCACTCGCTCACGCTGGAGCCCAAAGCAAGGTGAGGCTCAATACCGACGGGTAACATGGACAACGATACCCCAGGTAGCCTCTAAACGGACCATCGGGGCAAGTTCTGTTGGCGGGCACCGATGAAGGCCGGGGCATGGCACATGCTGTGGTGTCCTCAGAGCAACTTACATCGCATCTCAAACAGTGGTGAGACGTTAACTACCTCGCCTGGTACACAGGGGATCATGGGTTCGATCCCGAGCCTGACGCCTGCTGTGTATTTGAAGTTGCTTGTTCTGCCCGTGGTTGCGCGGACTTTTTCTCCGGGTCCTCCGGTTATTCCCTCCACAATTCGAATTAACGTGACGCGTTTAGAACATGTTGCTGCTGTAAATGTCCACGCGATGGTGAGCTACTTCATTGAGCTGTCACTTGTGACAGCCAGGTCGCTTCTGAAAAAGTGCTACGTAGCTCAGTGTAGGGCCTTACCTGGTAAAATAAAAAATAGTTTATAGTTTTTTTATAGTTTAAACATTTCTAAGGGCACCTCCCAGTGGCAGCACAAGATGACTTGGCACCAGGCCCTACAATCGGGAATTATTCTGCCAGTTCGGAGGCATTATTCTGCCAGTTCGGACGATTATCTGAACCAGTCCTGGGGCTCCCCTAGGTCGACTCGGCCCTTAAATTAGTAACTGGTGCGATGTGTAAACATCGCCACTGGGGAAACAAAGGCGGTCGGGCATGGTGTTGGCCACCCACCCCCTCGTGTGCCATGCCGGCCTTCATAGATGGTTACTAACAGCACTTGCCCCTACAGTCTGTTAAGGCTATACCGGGGGATCTGTATCTAAATCACAACTGAGTAATTCGTGGTGTAATTTTCTAATTCTAAAAAATACGTGGATCCTGACACCCCGACACGCAATGGCCTACTCTTCTCAGAACGACGGTCAGGGGATCTTTGTAATGTCCACTGCGAAGCGAAAACGGCCGTCGGGCACTTTAACGGGCAGCGTGCCAGAGTCACACCTCATACCCTCTGCAACGAGCGGCGAACGTGCTCCCGCTGGACCCACCGCGTCATCCGCGGCTCGTCCCCTCTTGTCCGGGAGAGAGCTAACCCTAGGCCACTCCAGAGATGTTTTTTTCAACGACCGAGGAGTCACTGGGAAGCTCGCCCGCGCGACTTTGCGTCCGAACGGCGCGACCCTGACAGCGGCCGCGTCCGCGTCGTTGCGTTTCAGCATCACGAGCAGCCACCTGCCGTTCCGGAGCAAGTGGCTGTACGTGGGCACAGCCAAGGGCAACGTGCACGTGGTCGCCGTGGAGAGCTTCGCGCAGTCCCAGTACAGCATCATGTGGAATGACGCCGCGGGGTGAGTACGACGCCCGCTCGCGGGCTCGTCGTTGTTCGCACGAAGTGGTTGTGGCGGAGTGATACGCGCGTCGCTCGGCATACACGCCACAGGGTGGTGGTGGCGGCGGCGGCGGCATCGCGAGACTGTGAGAGATGGCGATGGTGTGGGGTGGGGGGTGGGAGATCTTCATCCAGCAGTGGGTAGATGATGGCTTTTGTTGACAATAACGTATTAATAAGATCGTCTTTGATTTTAGGCCTTCTCATCCTGGAGACGTGATTCACATCAGCGAGAATCCTCTCGATGAAGACAAGGTAATCGTTACGCATGGATGACATCGACAAATCGAGTATTGGGTTAGGGCCAGGTAATGATCCGGCCAGATTTGTGTTGTAAGGCCTTCCGCCACCCTACGCAGCCGGAGAAACGAAATTATCACGCGGTGCACAAGTATTTAACAACGTGCCAATCATCATTTACTTCCTGGATTTTATTCCGACTTTCCTGGATCTCCCCCTCTAAAGTGGGTCAGCATAGCTTCCAGCGAAACGTCGTGCCGTGTGATTCATGAAAATGGTTTGCGACAACTCAACGGCTCTGGCCGTGTCGGGTGGTGGAGGGTCTCCCAGATCATCGCACGCGGCCTCACCCCACACGCGACGAACGACGAGTCACGATCAAATGCCACTCGACGTTGAACGAGTGGCATTTGAATCGGAGTGCCGTTGCTCCCTGCGGCTCCTCGCTTTGTTCACTCCGCTTGGTTACCCAGAATGGTCTCGCCGAGTCCCCTGGCTCTTTTTAAGGAGGTGCGTGCGGTATTGCCACTGAATATCTTTTGACGGGTGACATTTTCAACACTTGGCGAATTTAGGCTGTGACACCGGCGACAGAATGGCCTACATGCGTAAGTCTACACTGAGAGATGTTAGTTACGTTGTTATTGTTGTTGTTGGACATACACCTACTTGTTGACCCGAATGTGAAATAGCGCTCCGTTGCTTTTTCCTGTCGTACCGCGCGCTCTTCGGCACGGTGTCCCGACGTTTTGCCGGCATGCACCGGGAGCTCCTTTCAGGAAACGAACGGGGCAGCTCACTTTCGCTTCCCGAAGAAGCTCCCACAAAAGCGGCGCGCGGAGCGAAACGTCGGGCATCGCCGTGCCGAGCGACGCGCGCGCGTGGGAGGCAAACACCAGAGCGGCGATGGTGGCGGCCGTGAGAAGTCGCAGCAACAGCAGCGGTGGCGTTGTTAACCTCGGTGCGTGTTCAGCTTCTCGTAGGCTATGAGACCGGGCTCATTGTGCTGTGGGATATCAAGTCACGGAAGCCTCACTACAGATACGACTGTGGCCAGGTACCCTCTACAGAGCCGGTTATACACAAGGTAGCGGGGCAGAGGCGCAGGCCCTGCAATTGCCTGCTCACGTCCCACTGCTGGCCATAAAGCACCTCCACTGGAGGGATCTCGAGTGGAGAGCTCTCTCTACAGGGTGTTTGGCTTGCCCTTGCTGCATGCTGGCCAGACTTCTTGGAAGAGGTGGGAGTTACCTACACCTTACCCACTTGACCCCGCCACACACCGATCGACTGTGGTGAAGCCATTCACACTGCCGGGTGGACAGAGGTGGTAGAGGCGGTAGAGGCGGGGGAGAGGGGGTGGGGGGTGGATTTAAGAAACTTGCACCGTTGTTTCAACTGCTGCACCAAGAGGTGGAATCGAACCGGTGACCCTCCGGGTTGAGAGTCCAGCGCGTCCCGCTCACCGTCACACCATGGGTGGCGTGCGCACGCGAGGGCTGGCCTCGGGAGGAGCTCTCTTCACGCTCCGTCCAACGCAGGCGGAGAGCGCCGATGCGTCCCCTTCCGCTCTCAGTCCATCCGTAACGAGGAGGGCTCACGATAACTCTCGCCACGAAAACGATCCGGTGTCCACGTGTCCACGTCGATTTAAATTGGTGGTTCTTAACCTTTACTGCAATCGTAAAAAAGTACAATGTTAATAAATACTGAGGTTTGATGAAACAAAGTAGTTGTGCTTACATGCCCGTGCTTAATTTGTGCTTTCGATGATTTACCTTATAAGAAACTCTGGCCATGTCCCGCACCCCCAGAGAGAGCATCTCGCAACCCCAGCGGGTGCACGCATCCCAGGTTCATGCATCCCAGGAACTATCTAGCGTGTTGCCTGGCCCTGGAGGGGACCATTGTGGTGGCTTAAGTTGTTGTTCTGGAGACTGGGAGGCCATTGATCCCAATGTTTATTCGCCAGGTTGATGGCATTAGTCGCGATTGCTCACGTAATAGAGTGTGCCCGTGTGAAGGCTGCCATCTTCCACTTGGTTAAACACGCAGACTGCCAATCCTTCCTGTATGTCTCGCACCCCCGGAAAGGGCATCTTGCGTCTCCAGGGGGTGCGTGCACCCCAGGTTAAGAACCATTGATTTTAAAGGGTGGCTCCAAAACGTGGAGACGGAAACCAGCGTGGAGTGCGGTTCGTCTTGTGTGCGGTTCGTTTCACCAAAATGTGTGTTCACCTGTGTGTGTTCACCTGTGTGTGTTCACCTGTGTGTGTTCACCTGCGTGTGTTCACCTGCGTGTGTTCACCTGCGTGTGTTCACCTGTGTGTGTCCACCTGTGTGTGTTCACCTGCGTGTGTTCATCTGCGTGTGTTCACCTGTGCAACAGGACCTGCGTGTGTTCACCTGCGTGTGTTCACCTGTGCAACAGGACCTGCACTCGATGGCTTGGCAGAGCAATGGGGAGCAGGCGGTGTGCGGGTTAGAGGATGGTACCGTTGGCACCTGGAGCTTGCGGAATCCCAGAAAACTCGGCTGCCTAACCATGCCACATGGTACATGCCCCCGGTGTCTTTGCGTGCATGCATTGCATGCAATTTGAGTAGTACGACGTTTCGCTGGTAATTACAACCACCATCATGGGGCGATTTTCCAGAATCGTCGTTTCAAATTGTCAATGTTGTGGATTTACTCTCCAACACACCGCTGGGCTGAAGTAGTAAACTAATTGCCGCGTTGTTTAGGTGACAAACCTTACTGGCTGTGTCGGGTGGTGGAGGGTTACGACACATTTATACTTACGAGATCTAACCCAAAAACCTTTATTATGAATAATATTGGTCGCGAAAGCCCAAGTGTTAAACTGTGCATGTGTGTGTTAAATCACTGTGTGTTGTGCGTCTAAGTCTCCACAGGAGAGTGAGTGAACTTGCCGTTGCTTCGTGTGTGTCTCTTCCGTCAAGATGCCGAGTGGAGTGGCCCTATCATGAAGGTTGACCACAGGAGCTGTGCGTCTGGGTGAGTGTGGGCCCACCACACCCGGAGTCTCATGTACACGGGCTCGGGCTTGGCTCCAGCTCAGGTGCGCCGGCTCAATGCCGCTTGCGTAACTTCCTCTGTGGACGTGGCTGCTTCATCAACAAATCATCGGCAGAGAAGCGCTTCGAGGCTGAGTCTCCGTGTGTGGATCGCACTGGGAGTTCCATGGCTGCCGACTGTGGCCGCTTTGCCTAACGAGCGTTCGGGAGGCGAACGTTCGTGTTCACCGGGGAGTCGGTGGTGGTGTTCACGGGGAGTCGGTGGTCGTGTTCACGGGGAGTCGGTGGTCGTGTTCACAGGGAGTCAGTGGTCGTGTTCACGGGGAGTCGGTGGTCGTGTTCACAGGGAGTCAGTGGTCGTGTTCACAGGGAGTCGGTGGTCGTGTTCACGGGGAGTCGGTGGTCGTGTTCACAGGGAGTCAGTGGTCGTGTTCACAGGGAATCGGTGGTCGTGTTCACGGGGAGTCGGTGGTCGTGTTCACAGGGAGTCGGTGGTCGTGTTCACAGGGAGTCGGTGGTCGTGTTCACAGGGAGTCAGTGGTTGTGTTCACAGGGAGTCGATGGTCGTGTTCACAGGGAGTCGGTGGTCGTGTTCACGGGGAGTCGGTGGTCGTGTTCACAGGGAGTCGGTGGTCGTGTTCACAGGGAGTCGGTGGTCGTGTTTACAGGGAGTCGGTGGTCGTGTTCACAGGGAGTCAGTGGTTGTGTTCACAGGGAGTCGATGGTCGTGTTCACGGGGAGTCAGTGGTCGTGTTCACAGGGAGTCAGTGGTCGTGTTCACGGGGAGTCGGTGGTCGTGTTCACAGGGAGTCGGTGGTCGTGTTCACAGGGAGTCAGTAGTCGTGTTCACCGGGGAGTTGATGGTCGTGTTCACAGGGAGTCAGTGGTCGTGTTCACGGGAAGTCGGTGGTCATGTTCACGGGGAGTCGGTGGTCATGTTCACGGGGAGTCAGTGGTTGTGTTCACAGGGAGTCGGTGGTCGTGTTCACAGGGAGTCAGTGGTCGTGTTCACGGGGAGTCGGTGGTCATGTTCACGGGGAGTCGGTGGTCGTGTTCACCGGGGTGTCGGTGGTCATGTTCACCGGGGTGTCGGTGGTCGTGTTGACGGGGAGTCGGTGGTCGTGTTCACGGGGAGTCGGTGGTCGTGTTCACGGGGAAGTTGATGGTCGTGTTCATGGCGAGTCGGTGGTCGTGTTCACCAGTAGTCGGTGGTCGTGTTCACAGGGAGTCAGTGGTTGTGTTCACGGGGAGCTCGGCAGAGACCAGCGGTGCCCAGAGGAGCATCTTCATCGTCTGCGGCAGCAACGTCCACACCACCGACATGGATTCGGACATCGTGGACTTTGTGATGCTCAGCAACTCCCCGTACGCTGGCGGTGAGGTCGCCACGTGTGTGTGCACGTGTGTGTGCGCGCATGTGTGTGTGCACATATGCGTGTGTGTGTGTGTGTGCGTGTGTGTAACCGGGCGGCTAAAATGCAGGGAGTTGGCACAGTAGGTGGCACAGGTGGTGCATCTGCCAGTCATCTCAGTCAGTCAACCCATGGCACCTGGGTCTGTTCTGTGACCTCCTGCCAGCGGGCCTTCAACACTTGACGTGTCCTCAAAGTGCACCTAGCATGGCACAAGCGCTGTGGTGACGTCACCGCCACTTCGTGGTGAACGGTGGTTGTTGTTTGTGTGTGAGCACGTGTGAGAGCACGCTGCGCGAGCACGCTGCGCGAGCACGTGTGTGAGCACGTGTGTGAGCACGTGTGTGAGCACGTGTGTGAGCACGCTGCGCGAGCACGTGTGTGAGCACGTGTGTGAGCACGTGTGTGAGCACGTGTGTGAGCACGTGTGTGAGCACGTGTGTGAGCACGTGTGTGAGCACGTGTGTGAGCACGTGTGTGAGCACGTGTGTGAGCACGTGTGTGAGCACGTGTGTGAGCACGTGTGTGAGCACGTGTGTGAGCACGTGTGTGAGCACGCTACGCTGCGAACCCGGCGACCCGGGTTTCTATTACCGCTCGCGGTCAACACCGGTGACGATTATCTGAACCGGTCCTGGGCCTTAGCGCTAGGTCGACTAAGTCTAAAAACGAGTACCCGGTGCGGTGTGTAGTGAACGTCGCCACTCGGGGGAGACGAAACGCGGCGGAGCGTGGTGCTGGCCAACGCCCACTCCCTGCGTGTGCCGTGCCGGGCCTTCATAGGGTGCCACTCTTGCGAACCACACTTGTCCCGACAGTTCGCTGGAGGCTGCGCTGGGGGTTCTTCGTCTTTGCATTGCAGATTTGCAGAACCCCTTTGCGGTGGCAGTTCTCCTGGAGGAGGAGCTGCTGATGATCGATCTCGAGAAGGAAAGGTGAACCCCAACCCCCCCCACCCCCCCCCCCCCCCCCTTGCGCTACGCTGATCAACTCTCGCGGACGAGGAACGCGCAGCTCGGCACGGAGACGCAATCCGTTTTCAAAACGATTGGCAGAAACGTGCGATGTGCCGACAACAACAAATCCATCAACAGGAGTCGTGGTCCCTCTTCTCCTTAGGTCACCGCCAGATTCATTTGGGCAATTGTGACCTGCTGACAAGGCAGCAGTAACACAGAGAGATGGCCACAGCAGACCGGATTCGTCCCAATTAGGACTCATCAGCACAGTATAATCACCAATGCTCACTGCTGCAAAGTCTGCCGCTGGGAACCATATACAATGTGCAGTCCCAACATCTACTTGGCTCACGCTGATAAATTATAACAAAGACAAACATCCCCGTATAGCCTGAACAGACTGTTGGGGCAAGTGCTGTTAGCGAGCAGCACCTATGACTGCCGGTACGGCACACGAGGGGGTGAGTGGCCAGCACCACGCCCGACCGCCTTTGTCTCCCTAGTAGCGATGTTTACACACCGCACCAGGTACTCAATTGAGGATGAGTCGACCCAGGGGAGGCCCAGGACCTGTTCCGATAATCGTCACTGGTGTTGGCCGTGAGCGAGAATCCAATTCAGTTCGCTGGGTTCGCAGTGCAGTGGGCCACCACTCCCCACACACGCACGTGAATGCACTTCCAGATATGTACAGTTGTGCACAGAGAACTATTAACACGCGTACGTACGCACGCACGCACATTCATACACATGCCCGCGCACACACAGATATACCACTAAGGCAAACACACATTTGTATAACCGACACACAAAGTTACGTAATCGTGCACACCGGGCCTGTAATGATGAATGGAATAAAAATCAATGCTGGAGACTAGGGTCATCGGGCTGAAATTTTGGGTTCGATTCCCGATTGGTTTCAGCCACTGCCCGTGATTAAACCGGGATCTCAAGTGCAGCGTTTGACACTTTTATTTGGCTAAAATTTTAGCTCTGAGGAAAAAAAAGAAAAATCAGTTTATAATTATTGTGCATCACGTGATGGACGCTCCTGCTGTTGGTGGCGGGGGCCGGGGTGGTAAAGTGCCGCCCCTCCACGATGTCGACCAAAGGTCACTCGGAAAAGGATTCCAGAGGCAGCTCTGTGATATCCGCTTCTGTGGAGCGTTCCCTGAACGCTAGGGATCGCGACCGCCACGCGAGAGAGTTTTTACAATGGACTCCTCTTGGGCCGGTGACGACGCCGTGGCAACGTCGACGAGGTTCAGGGAAAAGACAAAAATGAGGAAATAACTCCGGGTGTAAATATCAACTGCGGTCAGCACCCTGGCGGGTCGGTTCAACCTCCCGGCGTAGCAGTTGGAGCGGCGGGGCAAGTTTCTTAACTCCCCCCCTCCCCCGGCCCCCCCCGGTGCGGCTGCCTCCATCCACCCCAGTTAGTCGGTGGGCAGGTGGCGTGCGGTGGGGTAGAGTGTGGGGTAGAGTTTGGGGTAGCGGGTGGGGGTAGCGGGTGGGGGTAACTTCCACCCCTTTCACGACTTGTGGCCAGCATGGAAGTGTAGGCCAGAGGCGTGCTGGATGGGGGGGGGGGGCTCACGGGGGCTTCTCAAGCGGTGGCGTCTTCAAGCCATCACGGGGATGTTCATTCAAACCACAAATTACAACGGCCCATTAGGAGAACAAAATTAACATCTCATTCTTATCAGTTGTGTGCGGCCTGTCAGGCTCCGTGCGGTGTAAGTCACGGTCTTCACCTCCTATCTGCTTTCTCTCCCTGTCTGTGGCCTCTCCATTCGCTATGAAGGAGAAGAGCCTTGGCCCGAGACGGGGCCTGTTGTATATTTTCCTTTTGAGATCACGCACACGCACGCACCTCGCTAATCGCAAGTGCTGCACCTCTGTCTTTTCCCACCCCCGCTGCCCACAGCTGCCCCTTGATGGAGAGCCCGGCTTCCCTGAGGCTGCACCAGTCGGACGTCACCTCCTGCCTGTACTGCTGCCCCTGCTCGCCGGACTTCCTCGCCGCCCTTTGCGGTGCCAGCGGGACCAAGGCTCGGCAGAGGAGCGTCAGCAGGCGGGTGAGCTGCGGTGATGGGGCTGGCCAGACGCCCCAACCCGGCGAGCGGGCCAACGGCGTGCCCGGCGTTGGCCCCAGAGTTTCACGATTACTGGGGGGGGGGGGGACATAGGACCCCAGAGCTTGGGGCAATCGTCAGTTGCGACGCTTCTGGCTGCCTTCCCTCCCCTCCCGCTCGTCCGTGGTTTCGGCCGCGCTTCCGTGCGGCGGCTGCGCACGTCACAGACCCAACTGCGATGTGCGTGAGAGTTTAAATGTCAAGTGAAAAGTTTTTATTTTTATTTTTTACCCCCGTTGAGAACTCAAGGGATCGGGGTGCAGTCTCGTTACCATGAGTGGTGGTGGAACGCTGTAGTTAAAAAACAAAACAAAAAAATTGTACGTGACGCAAGATGCGACCGATCTCGTGAAAGGCCTCCGAATGAAACGGGCGCCGATCTTTTCGCTTGCAGTGGCCACTACGAGGGGGCAAGCCCAGCCTGGAGAAGCCGGACTCTGTGGAGGTCATCCTCACCGGGTGAGACGAGACATCGGGTCTCCTTCACCCCGTTTGTTCGAGACAAAGACAAAGATCACCTCCCCCCCACCACCCAACATAGCCTTAATCGACTGTTGGGTGCAAGTGGCGTTATCGAGCGCATGAGGGGGGTGGGGTGGCCAGCAATCCCCCACGCCTTTGTCTCACGAGTGGCGATGCTTTACACATTGTACCAGGTACTCGTTTGAGGCTGAGTCGACCTGGGGGAGGCGCGGGGCAGATTCAGATAATCTTCACTGGGTGGTGGCCGTGAGCGGGAATCAAACTCGGGTCGTCGGGTTCACAGCGCAGCGCGCTTACCGCTACACTACCGGTCGCCTAGTACAACACGCTCACACACACACACGCATGTAGGTACGTACGTACGGACCTTTTCCACTCCACTGCTGGACGAGGGGTCTCCCCCCCCCCCCCCCCCGGACTGTGCAGGTCGTAGGGGTGAGCTTGACCCCACGTGACAAGCGTTTGTCCAGTGCGGGTCGGTTGAGGGTGTGGCACAGACGGCTAGACCATAGAAGTGCACCTCGACCGGCACTCGCTGCTGTGGGTCGTTGGTGCTCGTGACGAGGGTAGCCAGCAGTGGGACCGGTGGTTGGCGTCGCTATGGGGGCTGCATCGCGCCTGTCTGGATGTTTTTTTTGCTTCACCTTGGGGGCTCCATTTCGACTCGTGAAAATGTTTCCGTGCCCGGCACGCCACACGTGGTATGCTGCGGGTGCCCGGCACGCCGCACGTGGTATGCTGCGGGTGCCCGGCACGCCACACGTGGTATGCTGCGGTTGCTCCGGCATGCCGCACGTGGTATGCTGCGGGTGCCTGGCACGCCACACGTGGTATGCTGCGGGTGCCCGGCACGCCGCACGTGGTATGCTGCGGGTGCCCGGCACGCCACACGTGGTATGCTGCGGTTGCTCCGGCATGCCGCACGTGGTATGCTGCGGGTGCCTGGCACGCCACACGTGGTATGCTGCGGGTGCCCGGCACGCCGCACGTGGTATGCTGCGGGTGCCCGGCACGCTGCACGTGGTATGCTGCGGGTGCCCGGCACGCCACACGTGGTATGCTGCGGGTGCCCGGAACGCCACACGTGGTATGCTGCGGGTGCCTGGCACGCCGCACGTGGTATGCTGCGGGTGCCCGGCACGCTGCACGTGGTATGCTGCGGGTGCCCGGCACGCCACACGTGGTATGCTGCGGGTGCCCGGCACGCCACACGTGGTATGCTGCGGGTGCCCGGAACGCCACACGTGGTATGCTGCGGGTGTCGCTCTACCGTCTATTGGCGCCGACTTCTACAAAAGTGGGGGGAAACAAACTTCGTGTGAATCTGGCCCAATGACTTTTCGTTTGACTTTATTTCAGTAACGTTCACCGTGTGTATATTTTAAATCCTGTGCATTATAATCTTGGATAATATCTCCATAACCACCGCCGCGTACATTTAGCGGTTGAGCCGCCGCACGTTGCTCGGGACGACGATCCCGACGTTTTGTGCCACGCGCCGCTCGGAGGGCTCCTTTCAGGAAACGAGAGCCAGCGGCTCCGGAAGAAGCTCCCAGCAGCGCGTGGAGTGAAACGTCAGACTCCGTTCCGAGCAACGCGAGTCAACATCGCGAAAAACGCACCGGAGTAGCCTCCTGTGTAGTTGTGCATCGGTGCATGGTGATAACGCAAGAACAATAACACCGCACGTCTGTCTCTGTCTCACATGTCTCACGAAGCCACTCCGATGGAACCCTGAAGATTTGGGACGGATCGGGAGGTAAGTGGGGGGGGGGATGATCTCTGACCGTGCGCTCTCATCCGCGTGGATTGCGTTCAATCGCCGTTCCCTCTTGATTTGTAAAAACGCGTTCCCGACGGTGCCGCTGTAGCCTTCGTCCGTGGGTGTCTGTGCCGGGGAGCAGGCACGCTGGCGCTGCTGACGGAGGTGGACGCGGGGGCCGTGTTTGAGCGAGAGGACTCGACGCTCTCCGATACCGGCGGGGGCGGCGGTGGAGGCGACGGTGGCCTCGCGATCCGGCACGTGTGCCTGTGCCGCCGGAGCCACGTGGCGTGCGTGGCGCTCGCCTGCGCCCACGTGCTCCTCTATGCGCTCCGCGACCGGGAGGTGCACGGCGCTATCGGCGTGAGTGCTGCTCCGCCAAACATCCACGTGCTCCCCTCCCTCCCTCCCTCCCTCCCTCCCTCCCTCCCTCCCTCCCTCCCTCCCTCCCTCCCTCCCTCCCTCCCTCCCTCCCTCCCTCCCTCCCTCCCTCCCTCCCTCCCTCCCTCCCTCCCTCCCTCCCTCCCTCCCTCCCTCCCTCCCTCCCTCCCTCCCTCCCTCCCTCCCTCCCTCCCTCCCTCCCTCTCGTGCGATCCCACCGGGTGAGATTCTACAAGGCAAATTGGCGCTTAGCTCTGGAACGAATCTCCATCGTGCTCGCGAGAACAGCGCTGTCACTCGCCACGTTGCTTCTGCGGCTGGCGGCCCGCCCCCGCTTGTGCGTTGACAGCCGATCGGTCTGTGGCCACCCTCGCAGGTTGTAGACGTCGGGAGGCCCAGCCGGAACGACTCCCCGGACGTGCCGGCCTCCGATCCAGCGTCGCCGCGGCCGAGTAGCCCGCTGTGCGGCCAGGCGACGTCACGCGGCGATTTCAACGAGGGGCCGAGCTCCGAACTCAACAGTCCCAGGTCGGCAACAAACGCCGCCGGTCGCACTAACATGGAGCACGCGGACCGCGTCGCTCGCGGGAACGTCTCTCTGTGAGTGACTCTGTGAGTGACTCTCTGTGAGTGACTCTGTGAGTGACTCTGTGAGTGACTCTCTGTGAGTGGCTCTGTGAGTGACTCTCTGTGAGTGGCTCTGTGAGTGACTCTGTGAGTGACTCTCTGTGAGTGGCTCTGTAGTGTCTCTCTGTGAGTGACTCTCTGTGAGTGACTCTTTGTGAGTGACTCTCTGTGAGTGACTCACTGTGAGTGACTCTGTGGTGTCTCTGTGGTGTCTCTCTGTGAGTGACTCTGTGAGTGACTCTGTGAGTGACTCTGTGGTGTCTCTCTGTGAGTGACTCTCTGTGAGTGACTCTCTGTGAGTGACTCTGTGAGTGACTCTCTGTGAGTGATTCTCTGTGAGTGACTCTGTGAGTGACTCTGTGGTGTCTCTCTGTGAGTGACTCTGTGAGTGACTCTGTGAGTGACTCTCTGTGAGTGACTCTGTGAGTGACTCTGTGAGTGACTCTCTGTGAGTGACTCTGTGAGTGACTCTGTGAGTGACTCTGTGAGTGACTCTCCGTGAGTGACTCTGTGAGGTCTCTCTGTGAGTGACTCTGTGAGTGACTCTCTGTGAGTGACTCTGTGGTGTCTCTCTGTGAGTGACTCTCTGTGAGTGTCTCTCTGTGAGTGACTCTGTGAGTGACTCTGTGAGTGACTCTGTGGGGTCTCTCTGTGAGTGACTCTCTGTGAGTGACTCTGTGAGTGACTCTGTGAGTGACTCTGTGGGGTCTCTCTGTGAGTGACTCTCTGTGAGTGACTCTGTGGTGTCTCTCTGTGAGTGACTCTCTGTGAGTGACTCTCTGTGAGTGACTCTGTGGGGTCTCTCTGTGGGGTCTCTCTGTGAGTGACTCTCTGTGAGTGACTCTGTGAGTGACTTTCTGTGAGTGACTCTGCGAGTGACTCTGTGAGTGACTCTGTGGTGTCTCTGTGAGTGACTCTGTGAGTGACTCTGTGAGTGACTCTCTGTGAGTGACTCTCTGTGAGTGACTCTGTGAGTGTCTCTCTGTGAGTGACTCTGTGGTGTCTGTCTGTGAGTGACTCTCTGTGAGTGACTCTCTGTGAGTGACTCTCTGTGAGTGACTCTGTGAGTGTCTCTCTGTGAGTGACTCTGTGGTGTCCCTCTGTGAGTGACTCTCTGTACGTGACTCTGTGAGTGACTCTCTGTGAGTGACTCTGTGGGTGTCTCTCTGTGAGTGACTCTGTGAGTGACTCTGTGAGTGACTCTGTGGTGTCTCTCTGTAAGTGACTCTGTGAGTGACTCTCTGTGAGTGACTCTCTGTTAGTGACTCTGTGAGTGACTCTGTGAGTGACTCTGTGGTGTCTCTCTGTAAGTGACTCTGTGAGTGTCTCTCTGTGAGTGACTCTGTGAGTGACTCTGTGAGTGACTCTGTGGTGTCTCTGTGAGTGACTCTCTGTGAGTGACTCTGTGGTGTCTCTCTGTGAGTGACTCTGTGAGTGACTCTCTGTGAGTGACTCTCTGTGAGTGACTCTGTGAGTGACTCTCTGTTAGTGACTCTGTGAGTGACTCTGTGAGTGACTCTGTGGTGTCTCTCTGTGAGTGACTCTGTGGTGTCTCTCTGTGAGTGACTCTGTGAGTGTCTCTCTGTGAGTGACTCTGTGAGTGACTCTCTGTGAGTGACTCTGTGAGTGACTCTCTGTGAGTGATTCTCTGTGAGTGACTCTCTGTGAGTGGCTCTGTGAGTGTCTCTCTGTGAGTGACTCTCTGTGGTGTCCCTCTGTGAGTGACTCTCTGTACGTGACTCTGTGAGTGACTCTGTGAGTGACTCTCTGTGAGTGGCTCTGTGAGTGTCTCTCTGTGAGTGACTCTGTGGTGTCTCTCTGTGAGTGACTCTGTGAGTGTATCTCTGTGAGTGATTCTCTGTGAGTGACTCTCTGTGAGTGACTCTGTGGTGTCTCTCTGTGAGTGACTCTGTGGTGTCTCTCTGTGAGTGACTCTGTGAGTGACTCTCTGTGAGTGACTCTCTGTGAGTGACTCTCTATGAGTGACTCTGTGAGTGACTCTGTGAGTGACTCTGTGAGTGACTCTGTGAGTGACTCTGTGGTGTCTCTCTGTGAGTGACACTGTGAGTGACTCTGTGAGTGACTCTCTGTGAGTGACTCTCTGTGAGTGACTCTCTGTGAGTGATTCTCTGTGAGTGACTCTCTGTGAGTGACTCTCTGTGAGTGACTCTCTGTGAGTGACTCTCTGTGAGTGACTCTGTGGTGTCTCTCTGTACGTGACTCTGCGTGCTGCAGGCTATGCAGGGGTGCGCTGCGCCAGGCCGCTGGATACCAGCTGGAGGCCGTGGTTCGAGTCGTTGGGGCCGGCAGCGCCGCTTCTGTGTCCAGCGTGGCACTCTGCTCCGAGCACAACCTGTGGGTAGACCACCATCATCACCACCACTCAACCACCATCACCACCACCACCACAACCACCATCACTGCCATCACCACCACCATCACTACCATCACCACCACCATTACCACCACCATCATCAGTATCATCAGCTTCGGCATGAACAGATAATCGTCATCATGCATTGAGATGTATCATCTTCACAACTACCTTCAAGATCATCAGCCTCTACGGATAGCTCACATCAGTGTGACTGAATCATTTTGATCATCAATCTCATATCATGACTAAATCTTCAACATCAACCTCATCCATTTGAAATTCCTCATCATCATCATCATCTTTGAACCGTATCATCATTCATGAGTTGCATCATTATTAGAAGCATTATCGTCATCATCGTTAATGTCACGTGTGCACTCAGATGAGACTTGTCTGTATTCACTCACTCAATTATTGCCAGTGCAATTTGACATTAATGACCTGGGGTTGTGTGTTTTCACAGTGTGGCAATAGGCCACAACTTCGGAGTGACGGTGGTGGACTTCAAACAGAAGAGTGTGTTAGCCAGCTTCAGCATGTCTGTTGTGCTGGGAGGCACAGATGCCCCGATGAATACCAACACCAACAGAGGTAATTAGCCATCACACGCACAGCCACGAGTTCCAATCACATTCAGTGCCAACTCAACACCTCATCACCATCCATCTGGAGTCGATAAATACAAAGTCAGAGTAATTTTCCGCTCATGAGCGTCGCGCTGTTGGTGCTCATCTCTCGTCTGGAGCCCTGCAGAGCCAGTGGTGGAAATTGCACATTCCTATGGTGAGGGCGAGTCTCCGCATAGGAAAAAACAGTTGCCTTCCCCACAAAATGGTACTTATTTTATCAACCCCCGGAGGGATGGTGGGCTGTGTCAACGTCCAAACCAGGAATTGAACTTTGCAACCTTCCGATCGCGAGCTGATCGCATCTGCTCCCGAGCCACCCGGCCGCTTTAAAATAAATGATCAGCATATAATGCACAATCCACTGCCGGATGAAGGCCTCCCCACGCCACGTCGACCACGGGGATTGTTGTGCCATACTTCACCACGCTGGTCTGCGTGGGGTGGAGGGAACCCAGGCTCGGTTCAGAAATCGCTCACCACCGGTGAAATGAAAGCGTTAAAGTTAAAAGCCTTAAAATACATTAGGAGATAACAGCTTGAGAAAATGCAAATGTGCCCTTATACTTAAATGCGGAAACAATATTACACCTGCACTATGATGACCACTGAAGCATGCAAGAAGAAGCAGTGGCGACTTAGCATTACTTTGAGTTGCAGCAGGGTTAAAATACTTCCCCATGCTTAGAACAAAATTGCCAATATGAGCGACACGAAAATTGGTGACTTCATGTGGTGCCACTTCTGATGGTGTGCCGTGATCGTTTAAGTTTTAGAGCAGTGGTTCTTAACCGTTCCTGCAGCCTTGCATCCCTTTGATTCTAAAGCATTAAAAAAATATGTTAATAAATACGTAGGGTTTGATGTAACAAAGTAGTTGTACTTACTTGCCGTTGCTTAACTTTAGTTTCGATGATTTACCTTAAAAAAAATCTGGCCATGTCACGCACTCCCAGCAAGGGCATCTCGCACCTCCAGGGAAACACCCTAGGGGTGCGCACCCCAGGTTAAGAAGAAGAACCACCGTCTGAAAGGGAACATTTTGAATACCGAGAATACCTGCACTGGAATAAAACGTGTCATGCAATATTTTAAAGAAAACAAATAATCACCGATGTTAGCTATTGCCGGGAATCAAACTCAGATGTCAGGGTTCATAGCACGGCACGCAACCACTGGTAGGTAAAATCAGTTCTGTCCAATAGGAAGTCAACAGCAACTGTCTAGGAAACAGACTGGCTACCGCTCCTCCCATGGCAATGTGGAATGTCGACCAAATGGTCATTTGAGGAGGGAGACACTTAGGCATTGAATGATGATAACGATGCATGTTATGGTTGTGATAATGCTCACCTGGGTGATGTTATTGATTCTCCTGCTGCTGATGCTGATGCCGATACATGAACAATGAATGCCATTTTCCTACAGAGAGCTTTGTAGAGAGCACCGATGGTTCGCTGGAAGAAGACCATTCAAAATCTTCTCCAGGTCTGTACCCAGAGACTGTATCTTCGTCAACATCGATGCATCGTAATCATTATCATCATCTATCATTCCATCATCACCGTGACAATGAATAATCATCATTGCGTCATCGTGATTATAATCAATGAATCATCATTAATAAATCATTGGATCATCACCATGGTAATTAATGCACCATCATGATCATCGCCATCCCACCACGTGGCTGCAACACGCCAGGTGGTGTAGCCAGGGCAGGCCACGAGCCTTTGCCACCGCCCCCCCCCCACCCCGTCGTGACCCGCTGTGTGACACTCGTGACCCACTGTGTGACACTTGTGACCCACTGTGACACTCGTGACCCGCTGTGTGACACTCGTGACCCACTGTGTGACACTCGCCACCCGCTGTGTGACACTCGTGACCCACTGTGTGACACTCGTGACCCACTGTGTGACACTCGTGACCCACTGTGTGACACTCGTGACCCACTGTGTGACACTCGTGACCCACTGTGTGACACTCGCCACCCACTGTGTGACACTCGCCACCCACTGTGTGACACTCGCCACCCACTGTATGACACTCGTGACCCACTGTGTGACACTCGTGACCCACTGTGTGACACTCGTGACCCGCTGTGTGACACTCGCCACCCACTGTGTGACACTCGTGACCCGCTGTGTGACACTCGCCACCCACTGTATGACACTCGTGACCCGCTGTGTGACACTCGTGACCCACTGTGACACTCGCCACCCACTGTGTGGCACTCGTGACCCGCTGTGTGACACTCGTGACCCACTGTGTGACACTCGTGACCCTGCGTGTCTTTCCAGTGTACTCCCCGCGGCGTCTGAGCGTGATGATGGAGAAAGGTACAACCCGTTACATGCAGGGTGGGCCAAAACAATCGGGAAGTGTGGGGTCATTTAATTTGTATTAACACATATTTAAAGCGGCTCCCATTAATTCACTTTTAAAATGATTCGGACTTTTTTTGTTCGAAGTTTACAGCTCCCCTTCTCTAGCCTACATAAAAACGTTCGTCTACATAACAACTTTAGCGTACATAACAACTTTAGCGTACATAAAAAGTTATCTTACATAACTTCAGCTTACATACAAACGTTAGCATACGCAACAACTTTAGCGTACATAAAGTGCCGCGGATCCTCTCCCCCCCCCGTCCCACTGTGCTGATGGTTTGCAGTCATGAAGGGGAGGAGAAAAAGTGCTTCTGCAGACCAGGGGTCCCCTAAAGGTACGCCCACTCCACCCCTATCAGATAACGTCGCTCTCCGTGACTCTGAAGCAAGTGAAACCTCGCGCGAGACGTGGCGCTTCCTTCATGCCCGTGCTGCTCGTGCCTTGCTCCCCTTCCGTGACACCCTCGTCTCCTCTTCCCCCCCTCCCCCGCAAGCTCTTGCAGCGATCGCCTCTCGCTTGGTGTCTCTCGCACTCTTTCTCGAATCACGACTTCGGGAGCGTCGATTGTAGCTGGCGTCTGGGCCAGCGCCTGCCCAACTGCGTTCGGCAAAACACGTGCACGTCGGGGTGTGGGAAGGGCGACTGCCTCGTCTTATCCCGCGACACTATAGTTTCTCTTTCCGCACACCTCGCTGGTAATTTCTGCAAGACAAATGAAAAAACATCCGTGCTAAAATCGTCGCCCAATAACGTCGCCACGTTCTTTATTTTGTACTTCTGAAAATCTGAATGGCGTAACGTGCGCACGGCTTCTTCACGTTTGCCCAACTCCGCACCCCCCCCCCCCCCCCCCCCCCCCCCCGGTTTCCGCAGCGGAGGGCCCCGTCGCCGCGGAGGGCCCGCCGTCGTCGGAGGCCACGGCCGACCGCGAGCCGCTGGCCGTGAGCCGCCTCTGCTTCGGCGAGCCGAACGGCACCGCCCGCCCCGGCCTCGTGTGGGCGGCGACTAGCAGGGGGACGGTCGCCAGCCTCGCGCTGAAGTCGCCGCGGGGGGATCGGCGCTCCAGCCAGCCGGCCGTCTTCGGCCAAAACCGTGAGTTCTCTGTCCTTTGTTTTTGTCGTCTCGTCCAACGGCGGTGCGAGTTGATTTTTTAGTTTCAAGGCCACGGTCCACCACGGCCACGCACAGCGCCATGTCAAGCGTCGCTCGCCACCGCTCGGTGCCGCACTCGTAAGCGGCAGACCGAGTATTTGCAATAAAAAAAAGATTTTCTTCCTTCACGTTTCCGACGCTTGGTACATACCGACGGTAAACGCTGTGCCGGCGTCGGCGGTCGTACGCGCGCCTACGAGTTACGGACCTCGTCGCTGGGATGTCGCGGAGGGCGCGGGCTACGGGGAGCGACGGAGTCGATCGTCTCCGAGGTGTGAGCGGCGTACGAGGCAGGGTGCGGGCATTGTGGCACCGGTGCTCTCCATTGCCGAACGAGCGACCGATGGCGGAGTGCAGTCTGAAGTTCAGCTCATCCTCACCTTCCCACCACCGCCACAGGGAAGGTGAAAACCCTGGGTGGCCCCGTGCTGTGCCTCGCTCTCCTCGACCACGACTCCCGGCTACTGGAGCCCGGCGGCTCGTCGTGGCAGGGTCCCGCCAGGGCCTTCACCGTGCAGCATCGCTCCTGCTCCACCGGATCCTTCGCCGAGTTTGCCGGCGCGGCGGCGGCGGAGGCCGTGGGCGCGCCGAGTGGCGCCGGGCTGGTGCTGGCATGCGCCGAGCGGCAGGCGCGCGTGTGGGGCGCCAAGGCTTCGTACAAACGCTCGCTGTGCGACGCGGGCGCGCCGGTGGCGATAAGGGCCAGCGCGGTGGACGTGGATGGGGAGACGCGCCTCGCCTGCCTGCACGTGGACGGCAACGTCGCCGTGTTCCAGTGAGTGGTGGCAGCGGCGGTAGTGGAGGGTGACGACGACGGCGGCGGTGGCGGTAGTGATGATGTCCGTAGCGATGGCACGGATTATGATGACGTTGGTATATTCCCCTCCCCCCCCGGTCTCCTTGCTCTCGGTGTTTCCGTTGCCCACGATGATGGACGTGGCGGTGACGACGCGGACGGTACCGGCGATCGTCGCCACGTTGTCGGTGACGGCATGATCCCCCCCCCCGGCAGGCTGCCGGCGTTGGCGCAGCTGTTCTGTGTGTCCCTGCTGCCCGTGCTGGGCCTGAGGGCCGCTCGCACCGCCTGCTTCGCCAACGGCGGGCACGTGCTCTACATGGGCGGCCCCGGGGAGATGCGCAGGGCGGCACTGGTGGGCGCGGAGCAAGGCGCCATTGATGCGGTGCGGCGGCAGCGTCACGCGGGGACGCAGAGACACGCGTAGAGACAGACGCACAGACACACGTGGAGGTGGACAGAGACACGCGTAGAGACAGACACACGTGGAGGTGGACAGAGACACGCGTAGAGACAGAGATGCAGAGGCACGCGTGCATACGGACGGAGACGCACGTGTCATGTGGAAACACATCGAGAAAGACATCAGAGTTTTTATTTAGACTGGAGAAATCCGATGAGCTTTGAAGCTATTTTTCACAGATGTCCAGTAGGGCTGGGTCAGAAAGTTACAATAAAAAAATATAGTAAAAAATATAGGAAAAGGTAAGCAAGTCACTAAAAATGAATACAAAATAAAGTATAAAGTACAAATTGCATAAGTACATTCATCCCACACATCTGTTTATAGCATGGTTGGCTACGTACGGTGCGAAAGAAGTCCAACATTCATAGGGATACACACAGAGATAGAAATACGCAGATAGATACTGATATGTACAGGGACTCCTCTATATACGAACGAGTTAGGTTCCAGAGGTCTGTTCGTAAGTCGATTTGTTCGTAAGTACAACTTTACTCCTGTCGATTCCAAACATTGTTGTACGGCATGCACACTAAACACGGGGAATTCCTTTATTCACGTTCTACAGATGTAGATGCCACTGGTTCTTCACGTTCTGCAGATGTAGATGCCACTGGTTCTTAACGTACTACAGATGTAGATACCACTAGCTCTTAACGTTCTGCAGATGTAGATGCCACTGGTTCTTCACGTTCTGCAGATGTAGATGCCACTGGTTCTTCACGTTGTGCAGATGTAGATGCCACTGGTTCTTCACGTTCTGCAGATGTAGATGCCACTGGTTATTCACGTTCTGCAGATATAGATGCCACTGATTCTTCACGTTCTGCAGATGTAGATGCCACTGGTTCTTCACGTTCTGTAGATGTAGATGGCACTGGTTCTTCACGTTCTGTAGATGTAGATGGCACTAGTTCTTCACGTTCTGTAGATGTAGATGCCACTGGTTCTTCACGTTCTGTAGATGTAGATGGCACTAGTTCTTCACGTTCTGTAGATGTAGATGCCACTGGTTCTTCACGTTCTGTAGATGTAGATTCCACCACCGCCATCTATTGCGCGGCGGTTGAACTTACGACTCTTGGTCCGAACGGGCAACTGGACGTACGGACAGGGTTGTTCGTATCTCTGAAAGTTTGTAAGTCGAATGTTCGTAAGTAGGGAGGTCACTGTACTCATTTAATGCTGAGTCGACCTAGCTGAGGCCCCAGGACCGGTTCACGAATTGGCCACTGCTCTTCACGTGAGTGTGAATCGAACTCAGGTCGCCGCATGACGCCTTACAAATGCACACACACCCGCACAAAGACAGATACACACAGACGGATACATGTAAATATAAATACACGCACACATATACATGCACAGGTACACGTGTGCCTTTGCTGAATGGTCCTTTATTTTTTTTTATTGTCTCAGGAGTACAGAGGAGACCTTTTCATTTCCGTGCCGCATCCCGAGCCCACGAATAACCAGTTCTTCAAGAAGCTCTTCAAATCCTGGGGCTTCTCACTGGACAAGAGGGAGCTCTGTAAGTGGTTTAAACATTCGTAAATAATCATCATCGCTCCGGTTGAAAGTTTTCAGCGTTCACGCCATCCTCGTAGCGCGAGGCTCTGTCGTCGTGAAGGAGGGCGCCGCGGTGTTTCACAGACGCAGCCCACGGCAGTCTGCAATGGCCTCCTCTCACGAATTGCGTCACGGGATCAATGCTCTGATAGTGCATTGTCTTTGTACTGTCCGCCTTTTGGCGTTCTCTGGTCTGACTCGGCCATAAAGAAGGCTGTCTTTGATGTAGACCAATCAGTTTCAAGACAATGCAAGTATATTATAATCAGTGCATGTTTTTTGCATGTTCACCACAAGTACGTGTGGTTAATGCAGACAGGATTCCTTGAATAAGAATTCTATTTGGTGTTTTAACATCTTGACACCTGTTTTATTGCCAGAAAGAGTAAAACCTATGATTATTTTTGCATACCTTAAAACTGGCAGAAAAAGTGTCCTATTTTACGTCACGGGATCTTTGACGTCGTTCGCGAAGCGGACGTCGCGTCGCAGTGCCACGGTTTAGTGCGCGCCGCGGTATTGACCGGGGCGGCCGCTGAATTCGAACAGCAGACCTCTGCAGCAAGCGGCGAGCCCTCGCGACTTGCTGGGCCGCGTCACCGCCCTGTGCCGTGTGGGAGTTTCCTCCGGCTTCTCCGGTTTCCCTCCCATGGCTGAGAAAACAACACACCCACCGAGTGGAACCAGTATTGGCCAAATCTTCCCACTGCTAAAAAGTTACCTGCAAATTAACACAATTTGGATTCCCCAGCAGCAGCAGCATCAGCAACATGATACCCCCCCACCCTTACGCCTTCTCTCTTGGCCTTTCTTTATCCTTTTTCTTACAAGGCGCCTTGAGACATTAGTGGAAGGCGCCTCACAAGCAAATGTAAATTATTCTTGTAGCGGAAACTTAGCAGGACCCTCCTGAAAACAACTCGCGAGACTCAGTTGAAGCTTTCACGGGAAAGCAAGCAATATAATAATTATATAGGATTATAAGGATGTCCTGGTGGTCCCTATTATACAGAGTTTTGGTGATCTGTGCCTAACGCCTGACACTCTACGCTGTGTCTAATGCTGCTCCGTTGGCTACATGGATTTTTCATGCAATTATACATTTATTTTTCCATTAAGGGCTTATTAAAATTGTAACTAATTATTAGTTTATGTTGTTCTGTCACGATGCAAAAATCCAACCAACATCAAAGTGCCGATTCAACAAAATTCATCTCAAGGAAATATTTTGGGAGATGATCATCAATTTACACCAAATGTGGTCGAGATATTTTAGATTAAATAAATTCAAAACAATCTTTAAATTTTAGTCGTTATCATTAAATGTTATTTTTATGAACCCATCATATGGCGGGCAATTACACTAGTCATAATAATACAGTGGTCCCTTGGTTTACGATGCCATCGATTTAACAATATTTTGAAGCAACGATCCGCCTCCCATAGCGTCCCCATTGTTTATATTCACGATACATTTTCGATTAACGATGTTTAACGATACCACGTGGCTGCAAATTTCGGCCAATCGGAGGGCTCCTAAGTCTACTTGACAGCAGACCTCAGCTCCTGAACCTGTCAGAGGTTCGAATTGAAGGAGAGACTCCTTCCAAAAATCTATTTTCTCCCAATCTCAGCTTCTCCACTAGCCCCTTAAGCCATCCTTATTCTTAGCCTAAGGTAAGAATTACAATGTTAGGCTCTATTTATTCATTATTTATCCATGTTTCTATTAATATGTTCGTATAACGCTTATTTATTAAAATTGCGTGTTTAAGTATTATAAACTATGTTATTATGGTGAAAAAGGTCAACTGCCGATCGCCTTGGAACAAATGAAGCCCCTTTAAACGTGCATGTCCTCTGTCCGATTGACGATCACCTCAATGAACGGCGGTGGTTTTCGCGGAACCAAATTAATAGCGCTCGCCGAGGGGCCAACCGTAACGTCCGCCGGGTGTCGCTGTCTCTGGCGCTCCTTCCCAGTCGGCGACACGATACCCAGCCACCCCGCCCCGTCGCGCCCGAGCCCTGGCAGCCAGCTTCAGCGCCCCCTCTGCTCCGACGGGGGATCCCGGAATACCGCCCGGGATCTCGGGCCGGGGCCTGGGTCGTCGCCGCTCATCAGGGGGGATACGTCGTCCTTTGACCGCCTGTTCAAGGGCATCGCGGAACGCGGGGATGTGCTGCAAGATGCGGTGATCAAAACCACGGAGATGGAGAGCAGTGCTGGAAAACTGCTGCAGCTAAGCGAGAAGGTGAGGAGGCTGTTGCTGACCAAATACACAGGTGCGGGGCCCTGTTTCACCGCACTAGAGTGAAATAATTGTTTAGTTTCAACACCTGCCCGCCCACCCAGACGTCCACCCACATATCCACCCACCCACGTGTCTTTGGATCTGTCGATATTTGTGCGTTTGTTTTTCTGTCTACCTGCCTGTGTTCCTACCTGCCTGTTAGTGTCTCCATGTCTGCCCATCTTGTTTGTTTTCCTCTATTGCCTCTACGTCTGCCTACCACCACCTCCTCATCTGTACACCTGTCTGTAAAAATCCCAAAAGCCCTGTAGGCTGATGGAATAAATAGCGATATTTTTCTGTGGTGAAAGAAACCCTTGTGTGTATTATTTGATTGTTTTGTGACCCACAATGCATCACACCAACGCAATGCATTGCGTGTGGGAAGGGATGTCGTATGAAAAATAAAAATAGGTTTTACCCTTTCTGGAACTAAAACGGGGGTTAAGATGTTCAAACACAAAATAGATGCCTTTTGCAAGGAATCAAGCCTGCATTAACCACACGTACTTGTGGTGAACAGGCAAACACACCCGCTCTAGTGATAGGATGGCATTGTCTTTGAACTGATTGGCCTACACCCGAGACAGCCTTCATTAGGGCCTGCCTCTGGTGTACTGGTGAACACTCGTTTACGAGTTTACTAGTTTATTAGTTTACTAGTTTAGTTTATTAGTTTACTAGTTTAGTTTATTAGTTTACTCGTTTACTAGTTTAGTTTATTAGTTTACTAGTCTCACCACCAGTGTCAGACCAGAGAACGCCAAAAGGTCAATAGTAGAAAGACAATGCAAGCATCAGAGTATTTAAGATTAAACCTATTCTTATTTTTCATACTTTGAAACTGGCAAAAAGGTGCTATGATAAGCTATGTCGTATACGGATGTGAAAGCTGGACAATTACAAATGTCCTACAAAGCAAGCTAGAAGCAACAGAAATGTGAGTTTTAAGGAAGAGGATGTTAAACATTTTAGGAACATGCACAAGATGAGTAACTTAAATGTGTTACGGATAGCAGCGGGGGTACACAGCAAGAACGCAAACCTGTCAACCCCTTATCAGTGCCCTACCTTATTACAGACCAATTCAGACCTCATTGGTCATCCCGTGCCCCTTATGCATCTCAACATCCTACAAAGTCCCATCACAAGGGAGAAACACAAACATGATTTTGTGTTGTGCCCGTATTGAAACGGCTGTACGCCGTTTGGACCTGAACACTCGGTTTCCTTGCACAAGAATACGGGTAAACCGCATTGGTTGACAGGTATGAGATCATCACTGAGAACAATTATAGAAGGGCATAGTTAGATATTTTGGAGAAGCATAATAATAAAGGGTGCTTCAAATTTTTTTTAACACTTCGGAGAATTGGCAACAACACCACAATAACTGTGCTGCCTCGGGGCTCTGGAGATCACCTGGAGAGGATTCCAGGCACGCGTTGACAATGATGGCGAACACGTGGAGACTCTGACTTTTTGAAGCTATTAACATACATTTGTTACCGTGTTACAATGTATTATCCGTTCTTTCCCATGAAAAACGATAGTCCCATAAGTAGTAAAAAAAAATTTGAAGCACCCTCTATTAAAATGTTTTACCTAAAACTTTCGTGACTGCAGGAATTCATATTCTTGGTTCTTTCGGTAAAGTAACATTGATATAAAACAAAAAGTCTAAAAAATATATGAAATAAAATTTAAATAATAAAATTCAAATAAAACATAAAAATAATAATAATAATAAAAAATAATAAATTGAAAATAATAAAAGCAAAAAACCCACAAAAAATAGCAAAATCAAATGTTAATTTAAAAAAAAAATTGTTGCTGTATTTAGCAGCAACAACAACAAGAACAGTAATTTTACCACTGTGGTACAACACAGCACGGTTACCTTCCTGTTGTTTTTCTCCGCCAGCTTATGAGGGAGTGCCAGGGCCGGCGATTCTCCCACAAGTGAAAAAAGCTCGGCCACGACAAAACCCGCGGCGACGCGGGGCGCTCCGCCGCCGTGGCCGCGGCCACGGGGAGGGAGCCAGCCCAGCATCGGTGCCGGCGTGTCCGGCAGACAGCCCGCCTGTGTGTGGCCTGCGGGGCCCTCCCCCATCAGCCCCTGCGTGTTGTCCGATGGACTGGCAGCGCCAGTGGTAAATCGGCTCTCGCGGCCGGGAAAGGCCACGCTGGGTTTGATTTCTCCGATTCGTGGGGCTTGTCCGCGTGTCCAAGTCGAGTTCTCTCCCCGCTTGTTCTGCATGGGCTTCTTCCGCTGGGTCAGCTCGGTCTCCTTTCGTAGCAAACACAACAGCGGCAGCAACAAATGTAAGTGGTGTTGGCCAACAAACCGTGCCTCAAATGCTGAAAAATTTACCTGGAAATTACTTACCTGGGTGTAACACAGCAGCGGCAGCTGCTGTGTTGAAAGTCATTCTTGGGTGAACAAGTGTCAACACAATCACAACAAATAAGACAAACGGTGGCGAGTCTGTAATTCAATTGGCTTTTCCAGACTGATATTAGCAAGCGCACGCACGGATCGCTGACAACGTTCGTTGCGAATGCGTTGCCGAGCTGTATATACCGCACAGTACGCCACACAACACAGCACACGCCAATTTGCCGCTTGAGTGGCGTTGACGCCACCGCGGCGCTTGTGCCAGGCTAGGTGTACCTCGACTTAAGTTTTTACAGCGCGAACGAGGTGCCGGGCGGACGGCACGCCCGTGAGCGAGCACGAGGCAACACTAAGTTCACAACGGACAACGTCAACGCCACGTCTCGCGAGGCAGGCAGCCGTACGAGAAGACTGTGGGGGCGAGCGCTTTCGAGCGAGCGTCCCACAAGGGACACGAGGCAGCCGTGGCGCTCTGGCCCCGAGTTAGTCAAACAAGAATAGTTGTTAGACAAGTGCCGGGTACTCGTGATTGTGTGCAATGTGAGCGCAGGGTGTGTGGCTGCCTAATAAATCGATTGTAAAAGCTCGGCGATACGTGTGTCTGCTTGTCCGTCAACTAAATGTGCCTTTCAGAAGGCTTGAATCTAAAAAGTTATAGAAAGTGGATCCCCCCACTCACCAGATGTGGAGGTAAAACGTTGATCCAACAAATAATGTATTTTTAATTATTTTTATTCACTTTATTAAAAAAATGTCTTATTTTATTATTATAATTTTTTCTATCTACGTGACTTTGTCGAAAGACCCAAAGAATATGAATGTCCTGCAGTCACGAAAGTTTTAAGTCAAGATTAAAGGCTGTCTCTGGTGTCGGCCAATTCATTTTAAAGACAATGCATTTATTAATTAGAGCACGTTTGGTTGCATGTTCACAAGTACGTGTGGGTAATGCAGACGTGATGCCTTGCAAAAAAGTATCTATTTGGTGTTTAAAGATCTGAACACTTCTTGAACACCACACGGGAAGAGACCACGGGGGCACACCGAAGACCACCTGGCCACGGCACCATTCAAAACCAACTCAACACCGTGGGAGGCTGTCTTGGGCTGAAGCAGAGAAGGCTGCTCAAGACCATCCCGCCAGGGCGTGGGCTTGTTGCGGCCTTAAGCTGCAGCGTAGAGGAGTCAGTTGAGTCTCGTATTGGCCAAACATCAATTTTTAAACAAACACAAAAAAATATATAATACAAAATATCTCAATGACACACGTGACAATATCGCCCCCTACCGCTAACACTTGGCAGGACACCGCCTCGGAGAATACCCCTCCCACTGCCAGGGCCTCAAGTGGCCACCATGCCCACAGACGCTCTGGGGTAAGCCGCAGGTACCACAAACTGAACAAGAAGGTCCCTTGGGAATGCTCTTTGAGAGGGGCGCGGTGGGGGTGGTGAGGGCCTGGCTCCTCAAGTCAAACTGCTCCTGGGTGAAGAGGCTTCCCTGGCGAAGCAACAAACTCAACGTGGACTCGTAACGAGACGGGGTGAAAACCACAGGCGGAGTTCTACTTCTGTATTTGGGGGAGGGGCAAGGGGTTTGCTTTGTCCCTCACTTTAGGAATCGCGGGTGCATACAATACATGTATTTATCCATAAGAGGTTTTTTGGGATAGATCGTGTAAATATATAAATGTGTCGTTAAACCTGCCACCACCCGACACAGCCAACTTGTAAGGGTTATCACGTAAACAATTCGTCACTCGTACAGCCAAAAATCTGGCTGTCGCCTGATGAAGCTAGTTGTAATTACTGGCGAAACGTCGTACTCGGATTGTAAATGTTGTGGCTTGGCTCTCCAACACACCGGTTAGTGCTGTACTAGTGACGAATTAGCCACGTTCTGTTTACGTGACAACCCTTACTAGTTTGCTGTGTCGGGTGGTGGCGGGTTTAACAACACATTTATATATTGACGCGATCTAACCCAAAAAAACTCTATTGTGGATGATATTGGTCGCGAAAGCCGACGTGTTAAACTGACATTTATTTACGTTTAATCTTACTTGTAAACTACTGATAAATAAAGGTATCCAGTTTGGGGGGGGGTTGCCCCCACGTGCCCCCACGTGCCCCCACGTGCCCCCACGTGCCCCCTCCTCCCGAACTCCACCCATGGCTAAAACTTCCACGACCGAGCCTCTCAGCAGTGGGGTTCGATTCGTGGGGGCGATGGCAGCAACACGTCGAGGAGCTCAATGCTGGCCTCGCCGAGAGCCGGCTTCAGGAGAGAGCAGTGCCGGATTATCCCGGTAGCAAAAGTAGCTACACATGTAGTAGTAGCTACTACACGTGTAGTAGCTACTACTACATGTGTAATAGTAGTAGCTACTAGTAGTAGAGCCAGGGATAAAAGAAGCCGAGCTACTTCTAGTAGCTACATGTGTAGCTAGTAGTAGTAGTAGCTACTACACGTGTAGTAGCTATTACACGTGTAGTAGCTACGGGCCCCGCACTTTCAAGGGCCCCGCGCTAAATGCTTTCAAGCTATCAATTCCGGTTCAGTGATTCTGCACTTGCTCTATTACTATAGTACTATACCGCCTTCAACTTTTATGAACGACTGGGTGTATAAGGTTAGCGATTTGTCAAATTATCTGGCTGTAAAGCAAATGAAAAGATACAATTACTTTACTGTGCAAGTTGAACATTTGTTACTCTTTGGTTTTTTCGGTAAAGTCACGTATAAATAAGAAATAATAAAATAACATAATATTATTATTTCTTATTTATACGTGACTTTACCGAAAAAGTAATCCCTGCAGTCACGAAAGCTTCAAATCAAGTTTGAACATTTGTGTTTTAATATTTACGGGTTTTTTTTTATTTAGGGCCCCTTTATAACAACAAATATGCTACAGGCCCCGCGCTAGCTTCATCCGGCACTGGGAGAAAGGGAGAGTTCGGTGTCGCATTGCTGTGGGGCGCACACGTTTTTGGGTTTGCGTGGCCACACTCGCACAGTCGCGGTAGGTGTCACTACAGGACAAGTCTTACACAGCTAATGAGCTGCAATGGGCAGGGCCTTACGACCACGGCTGGGCACTGAGCTCAGCGCTGTTGGAATCCTGGCGTCTAAGCCTCGGCTTGAAGGTGTTATGATTACGGCGGGCACAATTGAATTGATGACATTTCTCCACACTTAATCTTTTCGCGTGTCGACCAGCGTGCGACTCGATAGGGGCGAATGGGGGCGTGGGAAGGGGTGGGGGTTTGGGATATCCCTTGGCTCGGCTTCTTTTATCCCTGGCTCTGGAGTGGAAGACAGCAGTAAAGCAACTCCCACACCCCCCCCTGCCTCTCTGTGAAAGTGAGAAATCACGCGACTAACGCCACCATCAACGCAACGAACTTCGCGGCCCTCCAGAGGAGGAACAACGCTGGGCTCGCCAGGAGGCGGCGATGAGGCAAGCGTGTGGTATGGGATAGACCGATCGAGTGTTGCTTCCTCACATGAAAGTGGGTTTTCTCCAGCTGCTCCGGGTTTTTTTTCATCCCACGAGTAAACGCTCATTGATTGGCCGGTGACACCTTAACACATATAGAGGAGCGCATAGCTCGGGAAATTGTTGGTCGCGCCGGCTCCTCGCCGCGTGATTGCTGCTGCCGCCTCCCCGTCCCTCCTCTGAGTCGTTGTTGCGTCTCGCGTTGTGCCGGACACCCCTGTCCGGTACACCGCGAGACCAGGGGGGTGCCCTCGGCTGAGAACAAAACAAACAGACGTCTACAGCTGGGCATGGTAATGGTTGACACGAGGTGGAGACGTTAAGGTGTTTAGAGATGTTAAGGTGTTTAGAGATGCCGCACTATGCGTGCAAAACCTTACTGTGGGTCCCGCCCATGGTTGGTGAGTGTTGAGTGTTTTAAGCGATCTCGAGTCGACTCCTTGAGTGGGAACCCCATCTGTCTGTCGCACCACGGATTGCACGCTCTGTCGGTTTCTTAAGGAATAAGAGGATAGCTCTGGGTGGCTGGGTGGTTGGGTGGCTGGATGGTTGGGTGGCTGGGTGGTTGGGTGGCTGAGTGGTTGGGTGGTTGGGTGGCTGAGTGGCTGGGTGGTTGGGTGGCTGGGCGGTTGGGTGGCTGAGTGGTTGGGTGACTGAGTGGTTGGGTGGTTGGGTGGCTGAGTGGCTGGGCGGTTGGGTGGCTGGGCGGTTGGGTGGCTGGGTGGTTGGGTGGCTGAGTGGTTGGGTGGTTGGGTGGCTGAGTGGCTGAGTGGTTGGGTGGCTGAGTGGTTGGGTGGTTGGGTGGTTGGGTGGCTGGGTGGTTGGGTGGTTGGGTGGCTGGGCGGTTGGGTGGTTGGGTGGTTGAGTGGTTGGGTGGCTGAGTAGTTGGGTGGCTGGGTGGCTGGTGGTTGGGTGGCTGAGTGGTTGGGTGGCTGAGTGGTTGGGTGGTTGAGTGGTTGGGTGGTTGAGTGGTTGGGTGGCTGAGTGGTTGGGTGGCTGAGTGGTTGGGTGGCTGAGTGGTTGGGTGGTTGGGTGGCTGAGTGGTTGGGTGGCTGAGTGGTTGGGTGGCTGAGTGGTTGGGTGGTTGAGTAGTTGGGTGGCTGAGTGGTTGGGTGGCTAGAGGAGGGTGAGGACTTCCCTGTCTCGGTGTGCAAGGGTGTCGTGTCATGCGAGTGCTTGTGCACTCTGCATTTTAATAATTCCACATGGATAACTCTCTATGTACGTGTGTGTACGTGAGTTCGATTCCCGCTCACGTTCTACACCAATGAAGATTATTTGAACCGATCCTGGGCCTCCCCTAAGTCGACTCAGGCTCAAATGAGTACCTGTTGCAGTGTGTAAAACCATCGCCACTAGGGAGACAAAGGCGGCCTGGCGTGGTGGTGGCCACTCACCCCCTCATGTGCCGTACCTGCCTTCATAGGTGCTCACTTACAGCACTTGCCCCAAAGGTCTGTTCAGGCTATACGGGTGATCTTTGTCTTTGTGCAGAAACATGTATACAGCAGTTGCATCATATATTATATTCATCTTAAAGTGAACCTGTCCCAGCTCAAATGTCCAATGTTCGTCTGCACTAGTACTTCTGAACCTGTGGTGGAAATTCCATATTCGCGCGACAGGGATCATCCTCTTCATAGAGACCAACCCTCTTGAGTTGGCGGCTCTCCTGGGGAAACCCTGAGATCAACGGAGGCAGTTTTCTCGAGGAGAACTCCACCCCGAGTAGCACAACTTCACACCCAAGTTCGCTCGTGTCGGATGGTGCCATCGCCTCGCTTTACACCGACGGACGGAGGTAACGCATTGACGCGTTCAGCCTCAATTGGAGAGCGTAAGAAAAACATCATGAATTGGCCGATTTTTTAAATGCAGGACCCTCCTGAAAATTATGCTTGAGAAGCATAGCTCCATGAGTACAGAGCAGACGTCTCAACATGTCGGTACAAACCAGAAGTTGAGTAACTTTACTGGTACCAATGATTTTCCGTGGCCAGTAACCCAATCCATGACCACGTGACATGCGTGGGGTTATCGGGTAACTTACACTTATTGCCTGTTTTCAAGTTTTGGTACTTTAAGTGGTA